TTAGAGGAGTTGGGGGACTGGAGCCGGAATATTTTATTTCCTGTTTGCCTTTCGGAATTGATGTTTTGTTAAAAGTCACTACAGGGACAGGACAGCTGGGTAGGCAATTGAAACGGAAATTAAAAAGTTACGGGTCCCCACAGACACCCAAACACAAACCAAAATCCAATCATGTGAAGTACACCCACCATTTATCTCATTCACGAGGCGATTTATTTTTAAATATTCGATGAACTGTTTGGACGCTAACGCTTTCAATAATTTGCGGCTGGTATTTTCATTAATGCGTAATCGGGTGTGCGAATATGTTAAACTGCATTAAGTGGGGATTGTTTGTGTAATGCGATGAAAGTGTTGCATAATAAACGAGCAAACAAGCGACTGTGGCATATGCCACATCGTCCTGGCGCTGCAGCGCAAAAGGGTAAAATTGTCAGGGTTATTAAACATATTTGCCGGCTGTGCAAATGTAATTAATTTTAAACATTTATCTCGCCCCGGCATAATGAATAATTGATGCCGTTTAGACATTTTCGGCCAAATATATGCAATATTTATTTCAAGCGCTACCTCCAGGCAGTCTCTTCAAAATTTAACATTTTAGTTTAGTTGGCCGCAATTAGCAGCTGACCAGTCGTCCGTATTGCTCCACTTCATTTTAATTAAACTGTTTGCCTCATTTTAAGCGCACTCAAAGAAAAACCAATAATTTGTCTTGGCCATATTTCATTGGTCAATGCCACCAGCCACCCACTCCTCTTGGCCATTGAAATAAAATTGGCAACGCAATACCCTGGCCTCCGGATCGGGCTATGGATAGCAGAGTCGGTGGGATCTCTGGTCTCGTCCCGTTTCCGGGTCTCGGACCAAAACGACGTTAACATTACCAATGCAAATGCATTTGGAGTCCCGGAGTGGATGCGGGGTCGCTTTTAATTGCTTCCAGGAACGGAAGCTGGAGTGCCGGGAAGTGGGTAACCATTTTATTTTAATTTAAATATAAAATTTTCGCACATTACTCAAAAGCGGCATTTTCTTGACAAGCCCTTTTCTCTTCAGTATTTTCTCACTGGGCGACTGACCACTGAAGTGAATATGGAAAAGTAAAAAAAAAAGGGTTCTTTGGGAAAAGGGGAAATTATATAGATTATAATATTGTAAAGCTTTTTATTAAAAATACTTATACCACTTTATAAGCGTTACTTATAAAAACGTTACTATTCTTAGGCCATATTTTTATATTTAAAAAAATTGTTACTGATATTTTGTCCTGTGTAAGTGCTTCTGGTTGCTTTCATCATCAGCCTGACGCCTCGATGAATTTCAATGAATCGCTGGCGAAGGCAGGCCAGTCTGTCTGTCTGGCAGAGTGTTCCACGCACACCCTCTGACCCGATTTCACCTCTTCCGATATGCGAAGGGCGGCTCCTCCCAACAACGATTCGTTTTACGTTTTGTTACGGTCTTTCCCTTTAGTTATAATTAAAATAAAAAAAAATAAATATGCCAGATGTTTTCCGCACACAATAATCTCATTTCAGAATAATAAATACCCACCGACCAGCAAGCACTGGATCGGTTACCCAAGCAATTAAGTGCATTCAGGTGTTTCCGCGAAACCAGCCACTTGTCCAATATGCCCAGAACGGAAAAGTGCTTACACTCTGGAAGCTTTTCAATGGCTTGTCTGCTGCCTTGATGATATTGTTGTGGTGATTAAAAAATGCATGGGAATGCATGTTGAATGCTGCTGTTGCATCTGCTATTTCTGCTGCCACTTGACTCGCGTCTCACCGAGCCGCGCTGCAAAGTAGGCTACGGTTCGTGAATTACCATTGCGGTCGGTGAAGGAGATCCTGTTCTTGAACATATCTCTAGGGATTTGAGCTTAAAAAGGTTTTAAAATTCTTAAAAATGTATGTATATTTTTATTTTAAAATTATTTATAATAAAAATTGTATTATAAAAGTATCTATAATATTTTAAAAGGGGTCTAAAAGTGGATAAAATGACTAAATCACAAAAAGTTGGATTATTGCAACCGTAATAATAGTTTTAGGCCAATTTTTGATTTCTATACTCCATATATTTAAATATTTAATATACTTAAACTATTTTTTATTTTATTAACCTTTTTCGATAAAACCTTGTTGAGCGTAAAAGCCACTCTCTGTAGTTCATGGAATTATCTCGCAAATATTTATCCCACTCTGCTCATCTCTCATTAGTTTGGCGAATAATTTTTGCATAATTTCTGTAAAAGCCATGTACCTCGAAGTGTTTGCAATGCCCCGAGGTGTCATTCATTGCGGGGAAAGTTTTTATTACTACGTTTCTGAATTTCCAGGGGCCAAAACTCCTACGTATCTCTCTTCGGCAGAAGCTTTTTCATAATTTCCTAGCATTTCTCTCTATGGGTGTGTTTGTGTGTGTGGTGGGGCAAGGGTGAGGGGAAGGGGAAAGTATTTAACACTTCCGGCTGCTCTTGTTGCTATTGTTGTTGGAGCTGTGGCTGCAGTTGCTCAACGAAGGCTCGATGGCGCTGTAAAATGTAATCATTGTGGCGTGTAATTAGTTTTTGTGTGCAACATATATGTATAAGTGCATGGTGTACTGGTGAGTGTAGGTGTGTGTTTGTGTGAGTGTATAAATAAAATTTATTATTGCATTAACGTACGGAGCTGTCCCTTGCCAGCGTCACTGCCCCTCGGATCACACACCATGCAAATGTAAGCACATTTGGTCAATCAAGGGTGTAGTGTGTGTGTGTTTTGCGGGGTGGGTGTGCTTTTAATTGAGTTGTGGGTGTACGAGGGCTGTCGAAGTGGTTGTCGAACTGAAGAACTGTCTACTTCTGGGAATTTTTAGAGGTATTTACCCACTATAATTAAATGAAACCCATGTGAAGTCTAAATTCCTTTTTAAGGTTTATAGTCCTTAAAGGTCATTCTGTCTCTAAGAACCTACCTCGTTGTAGGTTTCGCAAGCGACTCTCATTAATTGCTATGACCACTCGCCACATGTCGTATTAGTAATAATAATTTACACATTAGTGTTCTTGTACTCGCCGTTGCTGTTGTTGTTGCTGAAACACTCAATCAATAGTCAATTTTCAATGCTTGTTTTGTGTGTGTCTGCGCATTTTGATTGGCGGTTATTTAGGGCCACTGCCACTGGCAGTGCCACCGCCACCGCCACTGCCAGGACCTCCTTCCGCCAATGGCCAATTGATTTGTGGGTCTCTCTGCTGTCGCCACTGGAGGCCCCAGGGAGCCGGAAATGCCACGCAATTTGTTTGTTCGCACTCAAGCCGCAAACATTGTGAAATTAACTTGTTAGCCACGCGCTCGCATGGGAATGGAAAATCGGTCAGGGGTCAGGGGTCAGGAAGGGATTCAGGTGCGGGGGGACTCAGGACGAGCAGCAGGCGTGGTTGCCCGGGTAATTGACATTCGATTTGTAATGGGCGGTCTAGAAAGTGCGGTAATTGGTTTACTTTGGTCTAGATCATTCGCAAATATATTAAAGTTTATTGTTTAAATTTAGTATTTGTCAAGAGTAAGTAGTGTATTATAATTTATGGATCATAAAAGCTCATATTTCATACATTTAATGCTCTTAATAAAATGTTATTTAAAAGCCAATAGCTTGGGCATACATGTCGTATGAGTAATGTACTTGCACAGATATTTGTTTGAAAATGTATAAATTATGAAACCATTAATTTTTCCTGCTGTGTACTATAAACTGGAAATGGTTGCTTTATCCGGCTTCCTGCATGGTGCTCTTGCAACGACTTCATTTGCAACATCAATCGCAACCTCATCAAGTTGTCTGCCGGCAGCCGCACTCATTACGGCGATGGCAGCTCAAGAGTGACTGCGTTTTATTAAACGCCCTCTGCCCTCTGACGTCCGACATCTGCATAGCAACGATAGCGAAGGACTCGCTTCTTGTTGATGCCCCCGGGGGGCGGCTGTGTTTAATTAGCTTTAATGGCTTAATGCGGGCCGTGCCGTTAGCCGTTTTGGGTCAGAGCCCGGCCATAACGGCCAGGAGGTGACATCAGCTTGAAAGCCTGTCCTGCTGCTAAGTTGTTTCCGATTTGCCACCTTAGCCCCATCACTAACACTGCTCAAAGGATAGAAGAGGTTCCTGGGGGGCAAGCAGCACTCGAGTATTAATGGAAGCCAGCCACCCCGTGACACTTTAAAGCAATTTTCCTGCCAAACAAATTTCCAGTGAAGCGCACAAAAGTTCCCTGGCCCGACTATTTATTTGCCCCCAATTGCAAAGACTCAGCTCCGGTCGGAGACTCATTCACACGTAGCAGCTAGCTCCTTTTTCTCGTCGTCCTGCACCGAAACTTTGCCTCATAACTTCGCATTGAAGAAGATGCATATGCAACACGTTCGTGCCATTCACAGCTGCAATGACTCAGGACCCCTACCACCTGCAACGCCTGGTATCTTGGGGGATTCACTAAAATGCTGTGGTGGTTTACTCTGACTAAAGGTATTAGGATATGTATTTAGCTTTAAAGAAAATATTTATAGATTTTATTTTTGAATAAAAGAACTCTTTTTTAACTGACTTTTCAGTGCTTTCAACCTAAGACATATTCTAGTATCTATATATATTTATAGGGTATTTATAAAACTATCCCATCATAAAAGACCTGTACCACTAAGCTGCAACTTTTTCTTAGCTCTTCGACTTTTGCAGCCAACTCGAGAAACGCTTTCGGGCAATCAAAGTGAACTTCTGGCAAAGTAAAAGATGAGCCCAGGGATGAGACTGCGAGGGAGCTGGAGCTTAGGGATATGGAGACGGAAAGTTAATTGAAAAGTATTGTTTGCTATTTCATACCATTCCATTCGAGTCACTCTGTTGACATCCAGGGCGGCGACGGATTCCGGTGGTAGTTCATTGTCAATTCATATGCAAAACATTTACACTTACCTCACACTTCCTTACACTTCAAACTAGATACATAATTGTTTTAAAGAAAGCTTTAAAAAACTAGCGTTTATTTGTTTCATGTCATGGCTTATGATCTTATTGATTACTGGCTAACTTAATACGTTAACAGCTAGTGTTCCTAATGATCCTAACTGAAGCGTCTAATGTCCTGGGATTTTATTGTGAAATAATTTATTTCATGCCTTTTGATATGTGTGTCGGCTGAATGAACTAATGAAGCTTCTTTACGTTTTTAAAGTTTGAAATATTTTTAAGTTTGCTTAGCAAATTAGAAAATCAAAGCATTCAACCTTTACAACCTAATGATAATCATTACAATATATGTACTTAGACAAGTCCTGAATCTATCTTTGTGTCCTTCCCTGTGTTTACTATCCTGTTATCACGAACGAAAACTAATCTACAACTAATTAACAATATTACATAAAGAGAATCTGAAGAACGTATATCTTATATTATATTACGACGTTGTGCAATTGAAAATGACGAAAACGATCTCCAGAACAAGGACAAGAGGATTCAGAGGGCGGTTGATTCGATTTTGGTTTGGTTTACACATAAATTAAACTGTAGATCTACCGGTGTGGGTATGAGTATTATTTGGGTCCCGCTAAGGATTCTGGACCCAAATGTTCAGCTGAGAATCAGGGAGTGTGGTTTCTCCTTTCCATTCTTGCTAATCAGTGCAGTGCGACCTAAAATCAAGAAGGAAAAGTTAGTACTTTGCCTGGTAATCCTTGCTTTTCTTAACACACCTTCGTCTTCTGAAATGAGCGCCACTCCCATGGTTTTCAGGTTGTGCAGAAGGGCTCCCAAATTGGAGCGGTCGTCCATGTATTTACTTTCCATGCGCAGAGTGCCGATCTTCTTGGACTTTGTCTGCGTATGCCAGACTAGAACCTCGGTGCAGTTGTTTCCTCTCGGCTCAATCAGATCCATGCGCAGGCCGATGCTGCGCAGGAAGAGGTCCTCTTCGTAGCCAGGCTTGTAGGGCATATTCACATACGGATACTTGGCCATGTACTCCAGGTTAACGGCGAATCCGGCCATGTCAACGGGCCACCTTCTACCGGCTATCCAGGAGTCCAAGAATGCCACCACTTTGCCCTGAAAAATATGAGTTTTTTAATATTAAGAGTCAGGTTTGTTGAATACGAAAGGGAATACCTTACCTTTCTTACCACTGGACCACTGATTCCATAGTCGGCAATCAGACCCACCGGAAACATGGACACTATTTGGGTCTTCCGTATTTCTGAGAAGAGTCGCAGGTCATAGGTATTGTCGTCATCCCCGAAATAGAGAACTCCGTTGGTGAGGTTGTGGGTCTTGAGCCACTGCAAGGCTGCCCTTCGGTTGGCCACTCCCCGCGGGGCGGGCTTCTCATTCCGGAACTTGCTGGGCATGGGACTGACCATGTGGGTGAAGGGAATGCCTAGAAAAACCAGGAAATCATTAGTTCACCTCAATATTTAAAAAAGGTGTGTCATTACATACCGAATCGGTTGAGCAAGGTATCCAAATAGGTATTGCAGTTCTCCTGGTCGTCGGCCACCAGCCAGTGCAATCGAGGAACATGGAGCAGAGTGTGCGCCAGGCGCGTCAACTCTGGGATTTGTTCCCGCCGTGGATAGGTCGGGGTAACAAAATATATCACTGGCAGCTTTTCGTACTCTGATCGAGGCTTGTCCTGCATGAAGAGGCGTCGATCCTCGTAGCTTTCGCTGCATATGTGCAGAGTCTCGTTAAGCGGCCGGAAATTAATACTGTCTGTGGATGGCAGAAACGAGATTGATTAAAGGGGTTACTCAGTGTCAATTGCTATTAAAATTTAGTCATCTAATGGCGTGGATTTTGCTATCCAATCAAGATTTCAATTGTTTATAGCTGAACTCGGTGACCTTCCTTAAATGCTTCGGCGTTTTGAAGAGTATTGAGCTCTACAAAGTAAAGATAAGTCTCAAAAGGTGCTAATCAGTGTCTCTAGTATCTCTAGTATAGTACATTTGTGTTTATTTTTGCCTAGAAATCAAGCTGAGGTGAAAAAAGCGAGATAAAATGCCCCGTCACTGTTCACACAACCCGCCGAGAGCCAAGCACTTAGGGGCCTATAGTAGCTGAGAAGTTCCATTCGTAGATATTAGAGATCAAACGCTAAATCAAACATATACCGGCTAATTACCTAATGGGCCAATCTCACATGAAAATCTTTCGTGAGTCGACTCCATTAGAGCACCTTGCATTAAACAGGGTTGGGAAGCACGAGGCACGCAACTTGGGGACAAAGGAAGAGACCCCTTTCCGATTAATACATCAGATAGCCCACCTGGGGCAAAAAACCACTTCCATTTGGCGCTTTCGGAAGGGGTACTGAAAGTATTCCCTAATAAGTTATTAAATATTGACCGAGCAAATAAAGAAGAGAAAACCCAAAAGCAAATACCGCGACATAAAGGCGATCAAGAAATTATGGGGGCATATATCGGGGCATTCCGTATGACGAATATTTACAATCCCAACCCTCCTATATACCTGTACTATAAGAAATCAAAAACTGAAAGTCTGATTGTGTGGGAGTTTCCCCCTCTCACATGTTTGAGGTTTCCGCAACCACACCACTCGTGGCACTCGTTCCCACTTTGGCCCACTGAGGTGATTGATAAACCGCGCAATTATTGATAGGATACGACAGTAATCTGGGAACAATAACACGCTCACGTATCGTCTGATAGTTAATTATTGCCCTCCAGTTTAGATGATGTACGGCCGGGAATCGATTATATAGAAATACTGTATGTGAATTCCCCAGGCACCTGATCCACGACTGGCATTATTAGTCAGCACCCTACGTTTACGGTACGCCCTTATCTCAGATTCATTCATTTTATTATTTGGTCATGTTATCTAAGGGGTTTATTAGACGAATGGGATAAAGATAGTGCTGGGGTCTCTATATTGTGTGGAGTCTAGATAGAGGGAATTATCAATTTATGGCGAATGTTTGGAGCTATATATTAAAAAAGTCTGGAATCAAGACTCAATACACTCATATCGTCCACAGAAATGTTTTTTGGTACGATTCATTACTCGTATACTCGTAGCTGAGTCGTTAAATGGCGATAAAAATTAAGATTCCTCAGCGAATCACATCTGTTTCTCAATTGAAGACTTTTTGGGTTTTGTAAATATTTGTGTAGACAATTTAATGGCAATTTGGTTTCACGACACCGAATCCAAACTGCATATTGAACTGAGAGCTTTCCAGGGGGGCACAGTCTTTGATTATTTGTGAAATAGGCTCGAAGTGCATGAGAGCTAGACATATGAGGTCTATTAATAAGCAGGTCTGCCACTTGAGCCAACAAAAGCAAAGCATTCCCCAGCCAAACAGCTACACAGCCCCTTGAAAATATATTTTTGTGATGTGTAAATCATACTTATGCAACTAGTCTATATATATATATGTCGCTTATGGCTAATTATCTCAGAGATTTGAGAATTCTCAGCTCTTACAGACTGTAAAGATTGAGGAAGAGTGCAATTATGCAATTGTTGTCACTCAAGACTGATTAAAGACTTGCTAGTTTGAGTTTAAATCACATGAGACCAGAGACACTAAACATTCATTGATTCACGTGTCCACCTTTAAAGACTTATCTTGACATGCCCCACATGCTCAGTTAAATGGCAGTGTTCTAGTTTAGTTTACGGCCAAAATAGAAAATTCCGCCCAAAGGGAGGGGCAGGTCGAAGTTAACTGGAAAATGTGACCTTGTTCCGGCTTTCGCTAATGACAATAAAAAAACCGCTGTAATTACCGATGACCGGCTGAGGTGGGTTGTGGGGTGGCTATCGACATATCGCGTTTTAAGGAAGACAATGGTTACCAAATAGATCCAATTACGGTTAAATAATAAAAAGGCAATCCACTGACAGTACAAACGTACTCTTACATGCGATAATTATCGCAGAAAATTGCCGAGGGGTTTGAATCACCAGTGATATGGTTCCAGAGAGCTTGTTAATGGGAATATTTATTCGGACATGGTATTAGTTTCATGGTTGTGGAGGTGGAAGGTCTTAAATACCTCACCAAGTACTGGGTAGCAGGCAGGTCTTTCTGGCAGCGAGCCAAAATGAAAAGTGAAAGTGGTCGCAGAGCGGCGTACTCACTTTCGGTTGGTCAGTAGTCGTGAGAATGCACTTCGCTGGAAGCACCAACACTTACTTCCGTATGGAAATCGCCCCCCACCCTCCCGGAATTGGATGAGTCACTCACAGAGTAGTTGCTCCTGGGAGCGATGCATCTTGGGCTCTTGAAACTTGGAACTGGGATTTTGAAAAAATCCATAGGGATTTCGAGGGTCTACAGGGGTCTCTGGGTTATCATCATCGGGCTCCTCTTGATTGACTGTCGTTTCTGTTCTTGAAAATACAAATTCTTCTTCGGGATTGTACTCTTGAGTTGCCTTGATTTTGGCTATTGGGGTGGTCTCCTCATCGTCCGCCTCCTCCTCCACCTCCCAATCGTTTTCGAACCAACTGAACTTTGTTGTGTTTACTTTTGGCACTTGCGTTGTGGACGTCGACACTACAGTCCTCTTCCCCCAGACGTGAACCGCTTCTTACCCAGGCCGTGGTGCTCATCCGAGTCGTCAGAGCCGCCGCCTAGTCCCAGGGCGAGGCGTGTGTCCATGCTGAAGGTGAGGTAACAGAACGCCACGATGAAGATAACCGCCCCGGCTAGGAGTAGGCAGCGACGCCGGCCCGCAGAAACGCTTCCTTTCCGGCCCATGGTGTAGGGAACACTGCGATGGGGCTGCCGCTCGATGTCCTCGTGGTCCTCGTCAGAAGTTTGCGGCTCGAGTGCCTGGTAGTGGGCGCTGGACATTATGCGGTTCGGATCGGTAGCCGGATGCTGGTGCGGGATGCTTCAGGCAGGATTGTCGATATGGTGCGGGTGCTGCTGGGGCATCCTCGTCCTGGACGAATGGCCATTTGTAGAGGGGCCTGGCTCAAGGCCAGCTCCCCGTCTTCCGTCTTTCTTCTCTCCTCTTCCCGTGTGCTCGCCTTTCTCCAGCACCTTCTGCTCGTCAGCGCCTTTTTTTGCTCGCAAACTAGTTTCTTTTATTATACAATTTCTGGTTCGACCGACACGAAAATTATGCAAATTCCTCCGACATTTCTGCAATCGGGTGCTCTGCTTTATTGCCGATTCGGGTTTCTATAAAAAAAATATAACAAGAACCACCAGAATGCGAAGGCACCTTTCGAGGAGGAAGCACAAAACACGCGACGGCCCAGCGAGCTCACAAAGCTTAATAATCACAAATAAAATATCTCTCACTGGGGCCTAACGTTTGGGGTTTGTTGTTTTTCGGCTTGTTGTTGTTGTGTTCACGCCAGTGATGACAGTCTAGCAGGTTATAAGCTACTTTCATCGTTTTACAAGAGGGTTCAGTGTGTTGGTATATTTTAATTATTGTTTAACTTAACGAATGTGTTGTATTTAAATTACACATTTTATTGGCTTACCATTTTAAAAAAAAAGTTCGTTATTTTTAGCATATTCTTGCTGGAGAACTAGATTTCTTTCATGAATCACTGGTTCATATCAGTCCGGTTGCCCGGAACACCCTGTGGCGGTACTCAATATCGACCGTTCTATCGATTGTTTTGCTACAATCGAAAATTGCTTAAAAAGTTTTAAATTTTGATTTTAAAATTTTTCTTTAAATCTAAGATGCGATATTAAACAATATTATATTTTATAAATGTAATTTTATTATACAAGTATAATAAATTAAAGAAAGACGTCAAGAAAGCGTCCAATATTTCTTTTTTTCGTGATGGATTCCTTGAAAATGTGGTTTTCCTCTATATGGCCCACGGTGATGGCTTTATCTTCCCCAATTCTCATCCGATTCGCAAGCGGAGTATCTTAAACGATTTCTGGATCGATTGTCCACCATTCTGCATTAAAATCCCGCGACAAAATATTTTTTAGATTCTTTGTCCATTTTTCGTGAGGGTTCCCTTGAAAATGGTGTTTTTCCCTATGGGGTCCACAGGGATGGCTATATCTTCCCCAATCCTGATCCGATTCTCAAGCGGAGTACCTTAAACGATTTCTACACCGATTCTCCACCATTCTGCATAAAAATCTCGCGACGAAATATTTTTTAGATTTTTTTGTCCATTTTTCGTGATGGGTTCTTTGAAAATGGTGTTTTCCCCTATGGGGTCCACAGGGATGGCTATATCTTCCCTAATCCTGATCCGATTCTCAAGCGGAGTATCTTAAACGATTTCTACACCGATTCTCCACCATTCTGCATAAAAATCCCGCGACGAAATATTTTTTATATTTTTTGTCCATTTTTCGTGATGGGTTCTTTGAAAATGGTGTTTTCCCCTATGGGGTCCACAGGGATGGCTATATCTTCCCCAATACCAAACTGATTCGCAAGCGGAATACCTTAAAAGATTTCTGAATCGATTCCCCTCTGATGGGATCCCTTGAAAATGGGGATGCAAATTTTTTTGAAAATATATTGCTCAAGTATTGCTAAAGCAAAAAATTATTCGAGTGGTATGAATCTTATTAAAAAAATGAGTTAAAAACATAGATAATACGAAAAATGTTTTGATTTTGCTTGGAAATAGGGAAGAAGAGCTATATTTTATATGAATTCTGAAACTTTCACTTGGAATCAATTTGTTGGTCAAGTGGCAAACACGTTCACGCCATATCTAATCTAATCGCCAGGTGGCCGATTTTAATCATTATTACTTGGCTATAGCGGGTTTTGTCTGCCTGATTATAGCCGTCAGACTTACCAAATGTTTGACTTGGCTTCCATTTCGCAATTTCATTTGCTCTTCCGTAGTCTCACGCCCCCGCCATTAGTCTCCAGAATATTCGATCAGAATTACAATGTTTTACATACGAAACGTGTGTTTTAGATTTATTTTTGAGTTTACTCTTGGACAACTGCTTACATTTGCGTTTATTAAAGGTTTCAATACAAAAATGAACAATCTTCACTTGTGTGTTTGTGTTTTTTTTTGAGTGTTTGTTAATTAAGCAAAATATTTATTGTTAAAAGCCACTTATTTTCTCACTTTTGTTGCAAACTTATCCATAGCTTCGCGAGCTGCACTGCAGCTTCGAGTAACAGATTTTTGTTGGAAAGAGCAAACCCTGCACTTATGGAATAATTAAATAAATGGTATAAAGAGAACTCGTATCGGTGGATCGATCGGGCTTAGATGTTGGCCTTGATGACATCCTCCACACGCGTGGCATTGGCGCCGGCGAACTCCTCGACCTTGACGCCGTTCTTGATGAACACGAAGGTGGGCATGCTGGAGACGTTGTATTCCATGGCGATGTCCTCGCACTCGTCCACATCGACCTTTTGGAAAATAAATACTATTAGTACACGTTTAGTAGAGAAAAAATTAACGTTTAGGTACCTTGATGACAACAATGTTGTCGGCGTACTGCGTGGACAGCTCTCCCAGTTTGGGGGAGATCATCTTGCAGGGTCCACACCAGGTGGCGAAGAAGTCCAGCACCACCAGCTTGCTGCCGGCCTTGGTCAGCTGGGAGTCGAGATCAGCCTGTAACGGAAAGGAAAAGGAAACGTTAGAAAATCAGTAGAGAGGGCTATTGATTTTTCCTATGACCTAATTCCAAGTCAAAGCCCTCCAGTAGGTGAACCCCACTTTGAAGCGTATGATTTAGGGTTATCAAACATCAAATCGATCCGAAAGGGATACTATATAGATGTGTTATTTCATTATCACTAACATGTGAGTGATAAGGCCACAAAGTTGTCAGTCATAAAAAAAGTTGCTAGTTGTAATCATACCAAATAATCAACTATTGGAAAAGATGTGAACTTGAGCTCTGTTCCATTTCGATTTAAGAATCAATATTCTAACTGGCTCCAAATTAAATTTGTCTATGAGGAGCAACGCCCCCGCCCAAATGGTGTCCTGCCAACATGGGCAGTCCTGGCCCCGCCCCTGTCACGTTTCCCGGTGCCCCTTAATTAATTGCCAGCGATGGCAATCGTAGAGCTAGAATGTCTCTAATGGAATTGCCGATGTCCAGGGGAATGAGTAACCGGTTCCACTGAATTTGCATAAATAATTCCCGAACCTAATACATCCAAAACCACTTGTTCCACAGAAGAAAACCATATTTTGACCAAGCTTAGATCACTTTCCGAATTAAATAATAGTGAGTAATAAAGATTTGGTATTTATGAAGAGTGATTCATGGGTGAAATTGATTTATCATAACTTTTTGTCTTCAAAGGTCATAGTTTTGTGCGTCTTGCTGTATAAAATTAGACCACAAAGTGGTCTCCACAAGAGGGAAATATTTCCGTTAAACATATGTATATGTATTCAAGAGAATCAGCATTTTTTGTAGTATCCACTTAAGAACATTCACCCTGACGTAATATTTGTGTTTAATAAAAGTTTCCCAATGTCTGACCGGTTCCAGCTTTTCACATGGCGGGCAAAGTTTGCTTATATTCCTAACCAACAAACCCAGCCTCGACCACGAACCGCGATAATAAATTGCTAACTCACCCCAGACCTCGACACAAACCCACAGCGATATGAGTTATATATATATACTATATAGTATGTGGTTCTGGACAAGATTAGTGAATAGGAACTTCTGACTATAACTTGTTATGTTGGATGTATTCAAAATTTTAATCTATTGAGACGGACCTATTTGGAATGATATCATTCGGTTGTTCGAATGCTCCCCGCCTCCGTCTCCGCCACCACTAAGTGGCCACTAATGCCTCCTCCTCTACTGTCGCCCCCAGTTCCCCACTTTCTCGACTTGTTTCGGCTTTCTCGCTTCTTTCTATTTCTACGTGAACGTGAGTTCTGCTCGTATGTGAGCGTATGGCAAAAAATGTATTAAATCGAGTGGGAAATTGGAATTCGGATTCCAATGCCACATTTTCACTGCCCTAAATTGCGAAAAACCTAATTGAAAATATTAAAGGGGGCAGCCACAGAGTCACGCGTTGTTGCAAAGCGGTGGTTTTCGGGTCGGGGGGCAGATTCGTCTGGGCAGATGCCTCATTAGAGTAGAAATTTCACAAGATCCGGGTCGGACGGAGCAGTGACTCACCTTGTCTTTTACTTGGTACACCATGGTTGATGGATGAATGGGGTAAGCACACCGGTAGAAGTCTAAAAAAGTTATTTAATTTTGCACTGAGGGAACTCGTCGCGTTCAGGCAACCAGCTCGTGATAGAATCAGGTAACGAATAAATGCCGACGCTCGAATGTTTCCCGCAGCTGCCTGAACTCGAATCCAGGGTATATTTTTAGGTATATTCACTATATCTAAACGTCGAAAAAGTACAGTCTGAGGCATTTTCAACTCTTTACACTCTTGAATAGAAAATTATTCAAATCATCTTGATATTCATTTTTAAAAACAGACTTTAACTATTATAGGCTTTAGATGTGACTTGCATTCCTCCGTTAAGATTGATTTTATTTATTTTTCTTAAAATAAATTATATTTATATTTAGATATATTTTCAACCTAGGGTAAGAAATCTTCGTTTGAGGCCATAGATATTTTTACTCATGACAACCGAACCCCAAACCGAACCAAGACGAGAACATTCCATCCGTTCGGGTCGCGTTTTCGTGAGAGTAATTCTCATTTCTCTGGCTTTATATTTGTTATCTACACTGAAAAAAAAAATTAAAAAATTAAATTATTAGAAACTATTTCATATTTTCATATTTCATAACCGTTAAGAACAGTTTTATTTCCGGAAAAGAAAAATCGATTATCGATTTTTGGTCAATGTTAATTAACAGTATTTTTATTTCACTTAAATATTTTTTGAATGTATCAATTAAAGACCCTTCAATGAAAACCGGTACCCCCGTAGTTCCCCTTCCATTATTTTTATTCTCTCGGCGGCTCAATTATTTTTTATTTTTAGTGAGTTTGCTTTGAAGAGAGCTAAAAAATACCCTCATCTGTTATTTATCGTTGATATCGATATTGGAACGAAGATGTGGCAACAATTGCGGGAAATTTGAAATTAGGATTTAAAACTATTCAAATGAAATGTATAATTTGAATTAATTTATGATTATTTAATGGTTTCTAAATTGAAATCTTATTAAGCTAGCCGCAACAACACCCACTGTATGGTTTTTTAAATAAGTTTAATTAAAAGAAGTCAACTCCAGTTTTCTCATAAACCCGGTAGATGTCGCTGCAACTTCCGGTAAACAAAATTTATTCAACTTCTCTTTATTTTTATTGAATATTATGGCACTTACCTTTTATTTTAAATTATGCTCTCATAATATTTAAAGAACCACTAAAATATAAAATTAAAACACCAAAACCTTTACAAACCAACATATTTTCATAATTTATTTGCCCGAAAAAGCAATGAGAAAACTATGCAACACAACGCATAATGATTGAAATTAAGATTTCACAAACTAATCCTAACACTAACTAGGCTTATCTATCGACTATGAGTAATCATGACCGGAGTCCGGATCGTTAAGTACTATTCATTGGGTGATCGATGGGGCTAGTGCCACCGTGGTTGGAACAGACGCCGCCGAGTGGTGCAAGTGGTGGTGGTGATTGTGGTACGTAAGCGTGGGTGGTGGTGCCGGCGGAGGTGGGTGACCTGGGTGAGGGGCCACGGTGGCCATCTGTTGCTCATAGCTCGAGTAAGGATCGTAGTAGCCGCCGTAGCCAGGATCCAAGGAGCTTCCGGTTCCTGTTCCGTTTCCCGGCGGCGCAGTTGTGGTTCCTGTATCGAAGTAGCTGACTCCGTTGTAGCCACTTCCGCTCTCGTAGTAGTGGTTTCCGCTATACTGCTGCTGCTGTTGGTGGTGATGGTGATGCTGCTGTTGCTGCAGCTCATACTCCGCCTTGGGACTGTAATAGTAGTCATAGTTGTCCTCCACATACGGTTGCGTCTCCACCGTGGCGTTGTACTTTATGGTGGGTGGCTCGCCCTTGCAGTTGATCTCCTCCTGGCCTCCTCCGCCCAAGTGCTTGATCTGCGAGTAGTTAATGAACTCCGGCTCAGGGGTGGGCAGTTGGGGACTGGACTCGTAGGAAAGTGTTTGACACTGTGAGTGCCCGGGAGCACTCATCCCGTAACTGTTCCCGGAGGCGCATTGTTGGTAGGCGGCCAGTTCCGGAATGCTGCAGGTGTACGGCAAACTGGGCGACTTGCAGGGAGCTGCTGTGGCTGCCGTCGGAGTGGCATGGTAGATGGGATAGTTGTAGGTGATGTGTTGGTGGTTGACATGGAAAACATTGGCGGCAGATTCGCAGGCAGCCGAGGAATCAGACCCACTCAGTGGCCAGGAGTTTGTGGCATAAGTCGAAGGCTGCGATAATTGGTGGCTTCTAGCTGCGGAGTCATCCAGGTAGCTGCAGGTGCACTGGCTAAACGTAGTGCACTTGCCACAGGCTAGAAAGGGAACGATTTTTTAGTTAATATTTATATAATTAATTCAGTTTTCTTAAATATAATTACCATTAAATTGGTAAATATCCAAAGCGGAGTGTGTGAGTGGGTTCCCTGCTGTTGGCCGTTTCAGGACCTTTCCCATTAGACTCTGTTGTTGCTACAAAGGATAATAAGAGTTAGCCAAATAGACTCTCAAAGACCCAGCTAAACTCACCTTGACCTGCTTGACCAGACCCGCAATAACTGACTTCTTAGGCACGGCTCCATTGCCGGACTTCCCAGCCAAGGGCACCCTTCCGAAAGCCCTCTTCGAAACACTGGAGTTCTTCGGGTCTGGACGGAGATGATCATGAACGCCCTTGGCCTGGAAGAAAATGGCATTTCCAGAATGCCGCCAGAAATGGGTGACTGGGTAGCCGCAGTGCCCACGACAAGGCTTGATCTCCAGCCTGCCGCCACGACAGCTTTTGTTGGGACAGGCCTTGCCCTCCTGTTTCCGACGGGCCTTGTCGCAAATGGCCGGACGCAGGTTGATCTTGGAACCATTCGGAAGGGTGCAGTGCTGGGAGCAGACCAGGACACCCAGACAGCTCTTCTTCAGGATGTTCACGTTGTGGTTGTTGGTGTTGCGCATGGCCCAGCCGGAGATGTGCTTCTTGGCCTCCTCGTTGTGGAGCGAGTAGATGTGCCGGACATGCCCGTCACTCCACTCGTTGAACTCATCGAACTCCTGGTCGGGGACATGTGGCACGATGGCATCATTGATGTCCCACTCCCGTTTGCCCTTTGACGCAGCCGTCGTCGCTGTCGTAGCCGGCATGGCCATGGAGCCACCGGAATGCTGCTGGCTCTGACCCGGATTTTGGCCCTGACTTTGGTTCGGGCCGTATTGCAAGTGCTGGGATTGAGTTGTCTGTTGTGTGAGGAGTTGTTGTGACTTGAAGGTGTAGCCATTTCTGGTATTAAAAATAATAAAATGCCATAAGAACTTTAAGGTTTAAATATATATAGACTTAGGCCTAAACCCTATGCAAAATTTTAACGAAAACTAACTTATTTTTCGGATTTTCTGAGTCACCCTTCCAGATGAATCATTTAATTTTAATGCCACAAGTAAATCACTTAAACTGACCTATTTAGGCCTTAATAGTCCAAGCCTAAGCACCGTTTAAGCCTTAAATTTCAAGGTACTTGAAATTCTAGCTTAATTGCTCCCTAAATCGTTTTGTAGGGACACCCAACCGAAAAGTCATGCCAATCAAATAAAACGTTTGTGATTTTTATGGCAGCCATGAACACATAACTCTTTGGGTGATCAGTTTAAAGGTCTGGTACCGTTAAACAAGGTCTATACTATATACGTTTATGTATCTTATTTGATGGGTAATCTAAGCTGAACCAGAATCGTAATTCGAGCGCCACAACACAAAAAAACACAAAATTAAATTGACACTCGAAAAGGGATAGAGTGAGTCAGCGAGGTGGAGATTCTACATGTGTGGGAGTTATTAGAGACGCGGCTGACTGCAATTAGCCATAAATTTGTTTCGACCATGATCGGTCCCCTGAGCGTTTTTATGTGTACTTGGAAGTCAGCAGGTTGCACGCTCTCTAATAACTCTGAATACCTGAGACCTGAGCCCAAGAGCCCAAGAACGCCTGGTGGTCTTCGGTGGTTTGGACCTGTTCGTGGTCAGTGGATAGTGGATAGTGGATGTGTCCGATTGTCGCCTGTCGACCTTTGTTTTGGGTTCGTAAATTGACTGCTCGACACTTCGGGGCGCTCGTTAGTAGGGCTTATCTGATTCTGATAGCGTCTCACTTCGTTCCCTAAATCTCGGTGTGTTTTGGGTCTCCAATAATAAGTTTGTCACCTAGAAAATATGTCTCTATATTCGATGGGGATCGACTCTTTGACCCTTTCACTTGAGCGCCGCTCCCGTCCTAACTAACAATCCACCCCGCCCCCGACTTTCTCAGCCGACCGCCTACGTCTGCGTGTGGTCCGCCGGGGATCTCCGTGGCACACCCCGCGGCTCTTTCGAGCCGGAGTGCCATTAACTAAGCTGTGGCCCATGCTCAGCATGATAATAATAAAGCGCTCGAAATCATTTACATTTTTTCCCTGTCCCCAGTCCCGGCTCGCCCCCAACTCTACGAGCATTTGATTTGTGGGCCATTCCTCATCCATCAGATGGATCCGAGGTGTTTTGTTGGCTCAACACTTACGCAGCAGCAGCTCAAGATGAATGCGTGTCAACACAGAGGCTGAATGAGTTCTGATTACGAATAATTTGGAGATTTACTATGGGCTTTTCATTTTGGTTTAATTAAAAGATCATTTATTTAAAGGGAACCTTAAGAGGTAAATGCATCAGAGAGGTAAATAAAAGGGTTTTGTAAGTATTTTGAAGGAGTATATCAAGAAATCATTATGTTCATTTGTTAAAATACATATTCTCTATTGTAAGCTAGGAGAAATCTAAGGAGTTTTTCAAACAAATTTTGAAAGCAACCAATATTTCTTATAAAACGTTTTATAGTTCTATGAGTTCTAAAAGGATCTTAGCTCTGTTTTCTTAAACTACGTTCCCCTCATACTTCAAGTTTCTAATACATGTTACTTTGAAGTTCCAGGACTCAAACATTTTTCCTATTTTTCCTAATTTCTTAATTGATCAACAAACAATAAAATCCAACTTACATAACAACCATACTCGTATTCCCACAGAATCGGCGTTTTTAATCCAAATATTTGTTTCTTTTTCAGCGTTTTGATATCCAATATAATTGTCGTTAAAGAACACAATCTCTTAAATGAGTTTTCTTTGATACGGAAGCACTTCACAATTGCAGCACTTTGACCATTGTTAAGCAATTAACCGCACTTGCCACTTGGTGACTCCCGAGCCGGGTTCAATTTGTATCTTGAGGATACTCCTTTACCGGAGCCGTCGCTAGTTGGAGTTGAACGGAACGAATTGCACACGCGACGCCAATGAGAAACTGAAACGGTAACCGTGAGAATGACGACCTTTCACTGGCCAAAAAACGGCAACCTGTGAGCCGAGCCGAGCGATCCGTGTGTGCAGCAGGGCGAGATGTACGCGCGTATCTGGCAGATACGAAAAACAAAAGAGCAGCAAAGGCAGCAATGGCAATGGCAACGGCAGCGGCAGCAGACAAAAACAAACTTCAACCGAAGACACACACACCAAGTTTTGTCAACAAAAGGAATGATGATATTATGTCTATGGCTCTGGGCCTTTGGGCTCTTGTACACTGGCTCCACCTACAAAAACCAACAAAATGCCAAAAAGGGGACTGGGATGGGGGCTGCGGGGGTCCGGGGGTATGGAGCGGGGGAGGGAGCATCGAGCCACCCGCATAATTTGGCAAAAACTCCACACAGGCAACGTCGGCGCATAATCAGCAGCCAAACAGCTGCCCGAGTGGTAAACGTATCCGTCAGATACATTGGTACGGTGCCGCTTTCCAGGCAACAGCTACTTCCAGTCTCTCTTCAATCCGATTGGTCGGATAAACCCTCAAACACACACACACAACCAAGCACACGGAGTGAGAGAGTATGAGAGGTTTCTACTGTTAAGGTTCTTCAGGGTTTTGGAAATGGATATGGATGTGGGATGCAGAGGGGTTTTGGGGAGGGAACCACAAACATATAGCATGTATTCGTACTTGATAAGCATCACAGAAATTTAATTACTTATTATGCCGCTTATCAGGCTCCATTGTTCTGTTTAAGGATATGCCAGTCGAGCAGCGGAAATTTTTTTTTTTTGGTTAGAGTTTGTATTGAAGTTCATGATTTTATCCAACAGAATGTTTGGCAGATTAGTTAAATGATTAATGGTTTTGGGCAATAAGGAAATTCTTTGACTTTTAGGGGGTTTCAATAGGGTTTTTACCAGAAATATGGTTGAGGAGAAATTTTATTATAAACATGCTTACAAAATACTTATTTATATCTTATAAAAATAATTCTCCACAACCAATTTTAGTTAAAAGTAGAGTCAGCCAATAAAGAAGAATCTTCGTAGTTAAATTATTAAATATTTTTTAAAACATTCATCTAAGTAGTTTTACTAAAACTTATGGCATTTTTAGAAAATCTATAATTTCAAAATGGATGGTTTAATAAAGACTTCAGTGATCTTGAATGCTTTGGAGGAGTTCCTTAAGATTTCTTAAAAATGTGTGTATGATAAGTAAGCTTAATATTAATTTATAAATATAAGAAATGTTACAAAAAATCTTAAATTAATAGAAGGTTTTTTTTAGATATTATTCTGCGAAGAAATATCTATCTATCTAAATATCTATGTATCTATTAAAATAATCCCTTTACCCCCCAACTAAGTCTTAGACTCAAAATAAAGAGATATATATCGTAACAGAGGAATATCCATCTTAGTGGTAAACTTGCCACACGAAGCTGGGCTTATTAAGAGCAACAACATGGTCATACACAAGTGGCAACAATATCGAGGTCGGGGTTAGGTGGCGGGGGCACTTCTGGGGCTAATGCTTGCTGCGTCTTTTGTTTTCACCTGATCAACCCGCATAGCCATTTGGGCCAAAGTTACAGGCAACACAAAAAATAGTATGAAATAAAATACAATTTATGGGTCCACTTGGTAGCTCTAAGACACACAAAACCATGCGGACAATTAACCAAGAGCTTGGAGAGAAATGGAGGAGCAAATAGGCGTTAAAGTGAAAATTGAAAATGCCGACGACAGGAAATGTAAATGGAAATGGCGATGTGGCCGTGGATGTTGATGTGGATGGAAGCCCAGTGGCAACTGTTGCTGCCCCTTGCTCAGCGACTGTGACCCGTAATTAAAAAGGTTGGGGGGGGGGATCGGAATGCACGGTTATACGGGATTGGGCCCGAAGACGCGTAACTACGCGGTACTACCAACTACTACCTACTACCTTCTCCACTACCATAATGTGGCAACCTGGCAATGGCTGCTGGCCATTTCCCCCTTAGATCTCCCCTGTTTTGTTACTGTTGTTGTCGCATTAACGCTCCACAGCAAATGATACGGGTGACAAATACCCGAACACATTTCACAAAATGGTAGGAAAATATTCACAATTTTACAGACAAAACTAAACCGTCTAAACCGTAATATCTTATCGGTTTAGTTCCAGATCGTTTCGGCTTCAACTTCAGCTGCAGCTGCTCGGTGCTGTTTTCGCAATTAATTACCCAACATTATTTTATAAGCATGCGTAGTTTAATGTAGATAGACGTACACACACCCGGTGTGTGGTCGACACACACCTCCAGTTAAGGGATCCAACATCCCGCTGGGATCGGGCGGTTCTCTAATGAGCGCGTGCTCCAAAAGCGCCAAGCTCCAGCTGTTCCAAGAAGGGTTTGGGATCCCCGTGATCATTGGGTTCCAAAATATTTCATAATTCGATTTTTTGGCGCAGCAAATTAATCATAGATCTGTTAAAATAAATAAAAACTAGTGTATAATGTAATGGATTTTTGAGTGAACTGTGAGTTGAGCTTTTGACCTCAAAACTGGGAATAATTAATTTGGTCAGATGCACTGTGAAAAAAGTAATAATATACCATGGCTTTCGGATAAAAAGAATGTGTGTTTATGAAAGAAAATAATCTTGTAGACAGACTTGTAGAGGGAGAACTGATTACCCGTATGGCAGATGGAACTGTTGACACATTCTTTCTCCGACTGTAGACCAATCACGGACCACAGAGAAGTGTGACTTTTGTGGCAACCAACCAAAGGCAATTTTTCCATTTACGCAATTAATTGGCCGTCACGCTGGGTGGTCCACTAATAGACCAAAAGTCACAGAGCCCAGGCCCCAGAGCCAAGCTCATCGCACGACTATGTCGGATTAGCATTTGGCCTATTGACTGATTGATATCCGAACACGCATCACCCACAAAAATAGCCCTAGAGAAACAGAAATTAGTTTTTGAAAAAGATCTCAACACTAATGCGAGTAAGGCTAATGGCCTCGCTCGGCGATCTGTTGGGGCTCGATGGCTTATAAATGGTCTCGATTAGAACCCAATTACAAGGGTGGAATGATGGCCCCAATGGTCCCAAGACAACCCCGACTGTGTCTTCCTGGCCGAATTACTTTTGATCGTAAAATTATGACTCATAAATTTAATTTTATGACTTCTTTCCCCCAAACAGAAAAATCACCAGACGACACACAAAAAAACTATATAGTACGCCAGGGAAGAAGATATCAAAAGTAGTGATGTAATGAGGCAGGAAAGGTGCCAAAATTACGCAGATCGAGGACTGTAATTTTCGCACCGAAGGTGCTTAAAGACCCTGCCATTTCCTCATCAGTCAAATTACCCAAAATCGCATCGCTCCCGGAGTCTTGGACGCCGAGTCGGTTGCTCCTGCACTCTAATCAGCTAAATGGACTGTTGAAAATTCGCCACATTCGCAACGTAATCAACTTGATGGACCTGGCTCCCGACAACGGAGTCATCCTCCCTCCATGCTATTGTTTGCATAATGAGCTTGGGGCGGAATCCCATTCCGGGCCTAATGTGCTCTGCTTCTGATCAACTTGATTGGGGATCTTTGGCATGTCCAGGTACTTGGAACCCTCATAATGGTATTCGGATGGCAGGTTTTTTTTTTTTTTGGGGAACTTGATAGAGTTTGCAGTTAGATGCCTCGGGGGAATATTATTTTATGTTTTCATTATATATTGATTTATTTTGTTATTACCCTTTCAAGTCACTAACCTTGTCCTTGCCTCGACCACCAGTTCTTATCTCAGAGGCATTAATTAAAAGCCTGTGCTTCTGTGTTCCAGATACTGCGATAAGATACTGACTAGGATTTCCAGTTTCGATTTCATTTCATTTCAAGGAGCCAGCACAGATGGCCAACAAAAGGCAGCCAAGAAATCTGTGAGCCATATCCCGCATAAGACGGTAATCAAGTCATCTGAATTTTAGGCCCAGAACCCAATCCCTACCAGATCCCAGTCGCAACAGACACGCACGACTGGCAGACGCCGCTGGCCGCCAAGAAGTGAACGGTCCACATAACCGTTTAAGTTAATTATGATTATGATTATGATTGCGATTACGATTACGATTATGATTATGGGTTAGGCTTGAACTGAGCTTAACTTATCAGCCCATCAAGGGGGGATTAATGAAATGAAAAGTGCTGCGTTCAGTCGGCGGAATCAGAAAGTATTGATATTCAATTAGTGTAACCGGGCTAACAGGTGGCTCAGCCGGGCCAGAACGAACCAATGTAAATAATAAGAACAATTAATTTGGCTTCAGAAATTATGGGCGTGCTTGGATGCCGGGCACGTAGAGGGACGGACGACTGGCCGAGTGGCACGGGTTAACGTGGATGGAATGGACCCACTCCACTTTTGAAGAATCTTGGAGAATCCAGCAGACCACGAAGAGGAAGTGGCAAAGACTGCGGCAAGCCGCCAGTCCAACAGCTGCACTTCTTTCAGACTTATGCTGGTCCTGCTGCCATCTCCCCCGGCTCCTGGATGGCTTCTGCCTGGTGACTAGACCTGCAAAGCAGATTTACATGCCCCTCGAGCATCGGAGCACGTGCTCAGCATTCGATGTGAGCCGGAAAAGGTGCAAAACTCCGAAGTACTGTAAGCTGGCAACCAGAAACTCCCACGTTCATTGGGCCGGTCCACTCCAGTTTGATGTATTGATCTTCCGAGGGGCCTCTTCAGTTCCCACCTCCTCGATGATCAATCACTGCTTGGCCCGGGAACGGGATTCTCACTCTCGGAACAGTCCAAACAACAAAGCCAAGGACAATTGCCTTTGACAGTTTCTACAGTTTCCACCCGATTGTTGTTTATGTCGCCTCTTTTTGCATATGCTGATTATATTCGGTACTCGAAGGGGAGTGATTGATATCAGACAGTCAGTCAGTCAGTCAGTTAGGCAGTCATTCAGTCAGTTCTTCAATCAGACACTCAGCCAGTCTGCCATTTCATCAGCCTGGGCAGATGTTTTGTCAGTCAGCCTCTCCTAATGGATATTTAAATTGCAATCATTGTTGGAAATAATTATTGAGTATTTTTGGGGTTTATTTAAAGAAAAATATTAAAGAATTTTTAGATCCTTAACATGATCTTTTTTTTTTATAAAAATGTAGTATAGATATTAAAGCCTTTTTTAGAAAAAATGGAAAAGCAACTGAAAGAAACTTGTAGACCTTTATCCTTAGACCTTATAAAATATCCACATATCTAAAGGGCATGTCACTCTTAATTTATGCATTTTTATTTTATTAAAAACAACCATAAACACTGTAAAAAGTAAAATTTGATACAGAGTCCTATTTTGGCATTCCCGCATAAAATGATTGCCAATTTTCGGTCAACTCTGACGCGTGCCTGGAGCGGAAGCTCCAGCTCCAGTGGAACCATAAAAACGACCCAAACAAAACCCAACTAATTAACAACAGAATCGCGGGCGTATTATCGCATTCAAATTAGCAAAGGACCTACCCACCGGGCAAATAATAGTAGCGATAATAGAGAATAGAAAACCCAAAAATGCATAGCGAAATTGTTGTCGATTTTTATGTGGAATTTCGAAATTGTGGAATGCCAAAAACAGTAGGTAAACAACCAAAAAGAAACACACACAATGCATCCAGGCCACCACCACGATTTTGTGGGCCATAAATTACTCAAATCATTTGGCCCAGAACGACCTCGTCAGCAGGACACTCGAGAATCCTTTGGAAGCGTTACCATGGCAAACATTTCATTAGTCAATGTACGTTTATCAGAGGGGGCTATGATGGGCTGGGAGGGGAGGGTTGGTTGGTAGGTCCTTTCCAAAACAGAATTCGATGCTAATTTCGGGCTAATAAATTATTTGCGTTCTGACAGTCATGCGGAATGCATAATGCATTATGGATCTTCTGCTGGTTTGGCCAAAAATCATTCTCTCCATTTACCTTTTTTTAGGATTTTTAATATTGATCATTATCGGTGTTTTCCAGGGATTCCTAGGTTTTTTCAAGACCCCACACAAACTGCCTCGCTAAATGTCTGTATTTGCCAAGTAATTAAATCAAAGTGGAAATCACGAGTCTAACATTTTTATAAGGAAAATCCCACAAAATCGCTGCGGGTCGTCTGAAGAAACTCGGCAGGAGAGAATGATGACCCGAGGCCTAGAGCACACGACACACACTTCACACCTTGTACCCCACATCTCACACCTTTAGGTTGCCAGAGTCATCCAGAGTCTCGGGTCCAGACACATCCTGTGGCGCATGGCAAGACATCGTCTTGGTGGATATTTGCTGGTGTTTGGTGTCATTAGTGAGTGGCTCGTTCGGAGGCGTCTCCATTGGCTGCCACCTGCCGGGTGCCCTGATGTTACAATTACCAGGTAATGCGAGGAGCGATGAGGACGACCACAGAATTACAAAACAGCAACGGTGCGAGGCGGGGGACGTTGTCACCAGAGGAGATGTTCCTCAGCTGCAAACCGGTAGAGTCATCAATTTTTTTAAGGTTCTAGCTTGGGTTTTCTATTCAACTAGGAGGTTCTACAGCCCCTGAAGCTTAAAAATTAAAGTTTTTAATAAAACTTGCAAGTAAGTCTAAGTACGCAATAAGAACCCTTAAATATATATTCTTTTGGTAAGCGATTCAGTGAGAATGATCAAGCACCCCGAGTGTTACCCTTGGGCTTCCCCTGAGGCTTCCTTTTTCTTCCCAAATACAGACCAATATAAATCCAATTAGCACGCCTTTGTCTGATCCTTCGGCAAACACAAAAACTGACAAAAAGGAAGCAATGGAAAGCAACCGAAAGGAAGAAAGGAAGACGAGCACAATGGAACACTTAACACACTTCATCATCAGGGGTCTCGTCTTCGGTCTTCGGTGAGAGAGGGGTGTGCCCCTTGGCCAAGTTTATGACTTGCGCACCTTTTGTGCTCAACATTAAACGCTATTAGCGGGCATTTAAGGATCACTTTCCCTCGGTTAAGGTCGCCGAGGTTAAGCCGAGTGATGGGTGTGGGGTTATCAGGGTGTTCCGGCGCACACCTAATCTAATAAGCCGCAAGCACGCAAACAAGTTCACGTGGGAAAATTGGAGCAGGAACCAAGGAGAGGTGACCACTCCAGGACAGATATGAGTGGGCCGTCGATGCAAGATGGGCGATGGGAGATGGGTGTGTGTGGGAAGAGTGTTATTTATGGATTGCTATTAACTTCACGCCGAGGATGCAATTGGATATGGGAACCGATCGGGACGGGAATCGCGAGACGACGAGCACCGATGGCCAACCAACGCCCAGTGTCAGTGGTCCAACAGAATCGCATCAATTTTCGCACTTTATGCGACATAATCCCAGCCAGAATCGCGGCTATAAAAGCCCCAATCGCAGGCTCCACTCTCCACAGTCGAGAATGTGGCGTCTCTGTGGATTTGTTTTGCTCTTTGGCGGCTTAGTTTTTGCCCAGACCTTCGAAGAGGATCTAGACAAGGATCTCCCGCCGGACGAGGATGATCCCATTGGCAGCAACAAGGAGCTCTCGGATTTGGTCATCACCACGGCTCTGGGAAAAATCAGAGGAACTATCCTGCCCTCGCAGTCGGGTCGCAACTTCTACGCATTCCGCGGCATTCCTTATGCCAAGCCACCAGTGGATCAACTGCGATTCCAGCCACCCGAACCCGTGGAGCAGTGGTTCGACGTCTTCGATGCCACCTTCGATGGCCCCAAGTGCCCGCAGCTGGGACTCTTTAGTGGCGATGTCAACGAAGATTGCTTGAGGGTGAATATCTACACCAAGGAGCTGCCCAGCGAGTCCCAGCCGAACATAAGAAGACCCGTGATTGTGCTGATCCACCCTGGAGGCTTCTACTCCCTCTCCGGGCAGAGTAAGAACTTTGCCGGTCCCCAGTACTTCATGGATCGTCGACTGGTGTTGGTCACCTTCAACTACCGCTTGGGATCTCTGGGTTTTCTGGCTACTGGAACCAAAGAGGCAGCCGGCAATATGGGCCTTAAAGATCAGGTTCAGCTCCTTCGCTGGCTGAAGTTGCACATCTCCCGGTTTGGTGGCAATCCCAATTCCATCACTCTCCTGGGCTACGGGGCTGGAGCCATGGCTGTCACCCTGCACATGGTATCCCCCATGTCGAGGGGCTTGTTTCACAGAGCCATCGTTATGAGTGGAGCAGTGACGGGTCAGTGGAATCTGCCGGATCACCAGATGGACGTGGCCACCAAACAAGCCACACTTCTGCACTGCCACACGGAGAATACCACGGAGATGCTGGAATGCTTGAGAGGAGTACTGATCCTTATAGAATATCTATTTCAATGTTATGTAACTAAGACTCTCTTTCATTCAGAAACATTATCTGGAATTCGCCAACACTCTTCCGAAAATGTTTGAATTCGACAGAAACAATCCCTTGATACTTTGGAAGCCAGTCATAGAACCGGATTTTGGACAGGAACGTTTTCTAGTGGAGGATCCCATCAGAAGCTATCAGAATGATGAGTTTATGAAGGTTCCCATCATTACAGGCATGACCAAAGACGAATTTGTGGGTCCAGCCTTGAGTGAGTATTATTTTACTTCAAAAAACTAAATCTAAAGTCTATATTTCCCAGCCATCCTCCAAAGTCCCTCTCTGTTGAAAGCCCTGAACGAGAACTTCGAGACCTTGGCTCCTGTGTTTTTCATGTTTAATGCCAGTGATCCCCGGGCGGGTAACATCAGCCAGGAGCTGAGGGAACATTACTTCCAGCAGGGGCCCATCGAAGCCAATCGCTCTCTGGAGGCCTTGTCCAATCTCTACTCGGATGCTCTGACTGGCTTTGGCATTCATCGGTTTGTCCATCTGGCCGCCAGGTCCACCAAGGTGTACTACTATCGATTTGCGTACCAGGGTTCCAGGAGTCACATCTATTACCCAGAGGATGCCCCCTATGGAGTAGTGCACCATGACGATCTGATGTATTTGTTTGTGGAGCCCTCGATAAGTCGCATGTTTACGGAGGATGATGCCGAGTTTCAAATGGTGGACATTATGGTGAGGATGTTCTCGGCCTTTGCTTATAAAGGGTGAGTTGGAATCGGTATATCCATAAGCTTCCTGCCTTATCACCATTCCTTCCAGTGATCCCAACAAGCCCACCGACAGCGCTCTGAGGGACATTCGCTGGCGCCCTTTCAGCTTCAAGAAACGCTACTACCTGGATATTGGCCAAAACCTAACCCTCCAGGAGAATCTGAATGCAGAGCGCTACGAGATCTGGAAGCGACTGTTTCCCCTCAACTGGCGACGTCAGGCCTAGGATGTGGCAGCGATGACGGCTACTGTACTTTTCAAATACACGCCAATTGGCATATTTATTTATCTGAGACAAGTTTTTTTTATTGTTGGCTTGGTTGTTGTTTTGTTGCCAAGTGACAGACACCCAATTGGCATATTTTAAACAATCCAATTTGAAGAGAGCCTCCCTCCCCCGGAGTGGTGTTTTGGGTCTTCGTGTCATCGCAGTGTGGGTGCATATATTATTCAACAGTCGGCACTCGATAACAGCGCAGAGCAATGTGTCGAGTATAATGATCGCGTGCCAGGCTAAGACACTGAGAGAAAACTGACTAAACTAAAATTTTAAAAATATAAAAGAAACTATTAGAGAATTTTCAGAACCATAAGCTGGGGCTAACATACGTATATAAGCCCCAGGAGAAATCTGAAATATATATGAAAGATATATACAAATCTACTAGAAAACTATTAGAATCTGAAGCTTAGGCTTATATATATTAATTATATATTTCCTATAAATTTCCCTCAGTGCATACCACCTCAATTCATCCTCTGGCCCATCTGTGATGTGTTGTACTTTCGACTGAAACCACTTTGTTGCTGTTAGTGGGCCACTCACAAATGTATTTCCACTTTTATTGCTCTTATCGGAGTTTGGTTACGCTCCAGAGCATGACAATGTCAAAAAGACCAGATCCCCGGCCCAGACCCATACCCAGACCCCGGACAGGAGTCGTCCAATTTGAGTTGGCTCGTGTCCTGCCGCCCCTCTGGACTCATTAGCATAAAGTGGCCAACACATGACGCTCTGCATCCATCCATCTACCATCTACCATCTTTCCAATTGGCAACAGATCACGAGTCCATCATGAGTCACGCCACGGAGTCGTCCTGCGGGGGTGCCACCACCACCAAACCACCACGGTGGGTGCACCAGTTGGAAAACTTTAATATATTAATTTATGCAAATTGCAATGGCAACCGAATGCGGTATCACCGACAATAGATCAATGCATGTCGGGGTTGCTCATTTTGATCGTTTCCACTTTAGTTTTAATTGTTTTCGCTTGTCAGCAGCCCCGAAATGTGGATCAGCATATGCTGTCTGTATGCCATAATTTGTTAGATGCAAAATTCAGAAAAAAAAGTGAAAAAAAAAAGGGGAAATGGGACATGGAGTTGGAGTGGGGGAGTGGGAGTTGGTATGGACTTTGGCATTCCAATTTCCAGCGAAATATTTGGACAAGAGGCCAAACATCGCTGGCTGATTTCGATTTCCGCGAACTGTTCGAAAGGCAAATAAAGTTGTGAGAGCGCTCCCAGCCAGGCCCCCAGCCAGGTCCGAAAACCATATCAGATGGGCCTAGTGCGGCTCCATTCGAACCCAGACACCTCTGCCTCTCCAGCTGGGCCATGCCCGGGAGGCTGCCAGGGAGGCTGCCCGGGAGGAGTTCAGTCCCGGTCGCGGATTTTATTGACTGATGGAAATCGCTCAAAGAGCAGTTCGAGTTTGCCCACAAAATGTAATTAGATTGCGAGGCACCTCTGCGGTTAGTTTCTCCAGCTCCAGACCCGAATGGGAAAATATCCAAGACGCGTGCTTGGAACTCCTGCTGTCAACACATCAGTGCCCAGGAATCTCGCCAAGCGGCGGAGCAATGAAGTTGTCTGCGGCAATTGACGGCCGATAAGCTCAGCCTCCAACAGGCCCAAAACAAAGGCGATCCAGACCCGGTCTTGGCCAGGTTTTTTCAGCCTCGTCTGCCGTTGTCGTCTCTTACATAGAAAAATTTGCACAAACATCACAAAACTCATAAATAACAACAACAACGACAGCAGAGAGGCAGCAGCAGCCACAGAGGCAGCTGAAGTTGCAACTGCAACAACTATCGCTGCCAGAAAGTGTCCACCTAGCTGCAACACCTTTTGAATACTTTTTTTTATATTTTTTTTTAGTTTTCTGGTTTGGTTTTTTTTTGGTGCCCCAACGATGGATAATGTGCATTGCACTCCACAATTTATGAGTCACTTGGCAGCTTGTGTTCGACTCGCAACTATGTCTGGCATTTATTGGGTTAACTTCGAAGGATGGAGTTGGAACTGAAAGGGGATTTAAGAGGTGGAGAAGCCAGAGACCTTACTTTGACATATTCCCCAGAGTCCAGAGTGGGTGTGGGAACTGGAGGGAACTTGTCGGGTAGAGAATAGAGATGGATTTAGTCCTCAAATCTTAAGGAAGTATTTATTATGCTCTACAGGGTCTATAAGAATGATTTTAGAAAGTCATTCCCCATTGGCATGTGCCCTAAACACCGGAATTCATCAACTTGGGTAATTACCACCAGAAACTCCTTACCCAACCGCTCTGATAAGAACACCCAGTGGCATGCGTCCAATGCTGGCATTATCCGAGTTTATGATGCATGCCACCGAACACCGAGCACCACCCCCGAAGCCAGGGCACCTCGGTCCGGGCCCGACTTTCCCCCGGAAAATTAGCATAGGGAAATGGAAAATGTGGCGAGTGGAAAACATTTAACAGGCAATTGCGTGCGACGCGTGGGCGATAGATCCATCAGAGGTCGATGGAAGTATGGTGATAAGCTGGCGAGAAAACCATTAGCAGCTAGACAGGGGATGTCCTGGGATGTCCTGGGCTGTCCACTGTCTAATAACAGTCATGATCCTGTGGCGTTGCTTATTGGAAACCATTTGAAGTGGCAGCTTTGAGGGTCGCGTGCTGATCGCAAGCTGCGATCAAAGTCATTCCCTGACTGGCAGATCAGTCAGGAGGCTGACTAACCCCCCTACCCATCTGCATCCCTACAGGATGTCAAGCAAACAGTCCTGGAGTCGTCCCTGTTGTCTGTTGTCATCGCGGCATCGGGTTTCAATAATAGTTTTCGAGCAGCTTTCGACTTGCGTTGATGGATCGTGTTGCACGTTACTTTGCTTATTGACTAACCGATGGCGGGGTGGATAGGGGGACTGGTTTTAAAATTCTATGAGCCTTGGAAGCCCTCGCATTCCTCAGCCCTCCAGTTATTTGTTTTATTCTCTGGTCTTTGATTTTCCTGAAAATCCAGCGACTATAATGAGCATGTCAGAAATTCTACTGGTCCCTGGCTAACCCGATCGATGACAAATTGTGTTCTGGCCCTGTGAAAGTTGCAGCTTTGATTGATGTTGAGTGGATTCCAGGCTGACTGTCAACAGTTTAGTGGATCGTTTAACTAATTGCTCAATAACATTGCCACAGAACCTGATCTCCAAGTCCATTAGAACAAGTGCATCGAGATGCGCCCGGGGCAGCTCGTAAAAATAAGAAGAGCAAAGAGGCGAGCATTTCCATTTCCCAGACCCACGGACTATTAATCACACACAAAATAGTGTAGCACGATTTCATTAATTGTGGCCAAAACACACTCGCAGAAGGAAAACCACACCCGCATGCCACTCTAGAGAGTTTCCCACGACTGAGGTACCAGCTACTCCATGTGGCCGGCCATCCAGTTACAGTTGCCCCTGACCCCTGCTCTCTGACTGGCGCTCCATTTGGCCAACTTCCTCTAAGGTAAGAAGGGGGTAAGGGGTCATACTATTAGCTAGTGCAAGCACGTACATAGCTTTTCTAGCCAAAAGGTGCCACAAGGTGGTCGGCACATCGCACCGCTTCCAGTTCACGTGAAGACAGCTGCCACAGAAGCAGAGGACAGCAGCATTCCGTGCCCTCATATTGTAGTTCAGTGTCAACGTCAACCACGTAATCAACTTACAGGAACCCATTGCCAGGGTAAACAATGTGCACTCTACACTGAGAGAAAAATAAAATAAAAGGGTAATTGGTTAAGTGATTCAGATTACGAGTCCCTTTTTCTTTTTACATCATTTTTTCAAAGTGTCCTTTCTTCTATCCTTGCAACATCCCTGCCTTAGGTCACAGGAAAAAAAAAACCGAAAATGAAAATGAAAAAAAAAATTGCAACAATCCAGAGCCGCAACCCCCGACAATGTCCTGCGAGTCCTATCTACTCACCAAAGGCAGATCCTGCAGGGGTGGCGCAGGATGCCCTGGGCTCGCTAATGTTTGGTTTCATTAGTCCTGAGCGACAAATCAAACAGTTTTGTGGCACTTTGTTTGCCGTAGATTTTTTCCGGCATCCATCCGTTGTTTACACTCATTAGTTGGTCCTTCTGGCATTTGATTCCTGTGCCTCTCCAGGACCTCTACGGATAAAGCCTCACAGTGTCGCACCCTCGTGACAACTAGCATACGTTATTGGGATTCGAGGGTGCACTGATTTTCGGGGGTGCAGCTCAGGGAATCGGAATCGGAATTCGGATGTTGTTGTTTCGTTTTCATTATTTAAAGCACATTAATAATCACATTTGACAACAGTGAGGGGGGGAGGAGGAGGAGTGACAGGAGTCGCATATCGGAAAACTGCAAACAAATATTTGGCAAGGACACCGAAAGGACCGAAAAGGAAGGATGGGATGGAAGGGCGGTTGGCACTTAACGCGCTTGTAATGATTGCGACTATTTGGGTGGATTGTCGATTGGGATGATGGGCGGTTGGTTGCGCTTTTTATGGCCCTCCAGGATTGGGTGCAAGAATAGATGGCAATCTTCCACCCGCCGTTCGATTGGATTTGCGGCTAGTTTCGGGGTCTATTATGACCTTTTATTTCGGTTATCATAAATCTGGTGACCGGGGAGCGAGGGTGGTCCTACGAAAACATTTCTATTAACTCGAGAAACCATGCATAATTATAAGGCCCCCACTCCCTCGGCTCTCCCGTTCCCCTCTTTCTGGTCGAGTCTTCAAACAAAGGCCACCGAACCGATATCGGAGGAGTGAACAACAAAAGACACTCAAGACCACACAGCTTGGAACTTGGAGTAGCCTGAGATAGACAGCCAGACAATGGGGACACTTTTTTTATTTTAAACATCTATATATTCTGTTTTTTGTGTGTGGCTGGCTCATATGTGAGCCATGAATTTTGGTTATCGAATAATCAAGTTGTGGCCCAGCAACTAAAATTTGGGTCTGGGGGGGAGAAAACAATTAATTTTGAGCTCGTTTGATGTGAACACTTTCACCCAAAACAAACACGATACGAGTGTCCTTTTGCTTTCCCTTTGATGTCTGTTTTTTTATGGCCTGGGAGTCGGTGCAAGTGCCTCGGCCAGGACCAATCATTAATCACGGTGATTTGGATTTGTAAAAATATTTAATTAACCGCATAACAGAGCAGGGAAAATGATCTGTCAGATTGTGGCGCCACTGACCGTTCCGTCCTTTTGGGGGGAAAATTAATGGAAAATTGAAAAAGGATCTCAGCGATCAAAGCTCTGTCTACTGGGATCCTTCCACGAATACCAATCAATTGGACAAACTGTCTTCGATTGCAATACCGAATTACAAAATACAAAATAAAAAAATTTAAGAATACTTTTTGTGCTTCCCAGAAAAGATGCATAACAAAGAATCTCCCTGTCCTGCCGGAATCGAATCCCTCCCTCTCCGTCCGGCTCTCTGCACTTTCAATTTGTATTGTCATTAGCGATTATCAGCCGGGTGGGGGCGTAATCCGATATGTTGACAGAACGCATAAACAGGGACTGGAAAACAGGGAATTTCAAGCGGACAGGCCACGCTGACAAGCCTATAAAGCACTCGATCCTTGGCGCTACTTCAAAATGTTTACTCCTTTTGTTAACTCAATAAAAACGTAATCAAACCCGCAAATGCGAGGTGGATGATGCGTCATGACAAAAAGAGCAAGGCCCTTAGGGTCTGGAACTGGGCCTGGGACTGGGATCGGGCCCGGGGATCGGGCCAGAAGACGAGGCCAGGTTTTCCACCGAAATACCGCAGGCGCAGGCGTAGCGAAAGTGAAATCGAGACGCGACCACAATCGAATCGGCAGCTGGAACACCTTCGCATCATCATCATCATCATCGTCCGATCATCCCTGTACCCTCTTACCTTTACCACTTTGAGGATCTGTTTTGTTAGATCCTCACAAAGAACCAGACAAAGTCAAAAGGGGCACGCGCTCAGCCTAGACAGCGGATTTATATATATTGTGACTGATCGGGGCTGGATTCCCGTCTCCCGATCCTTGATCCTGGCTCTCGCATAGAGTCTAGACGCGCCGCAGACACATGTTTTAATAGACTTATTGTAATTGAGTCACAAAAGCCACTCGATATCCCATTACAATAAACTCTTTTTCTAATTTCCAGCTGCCGCTCTTTTGATTCCAAGAAAGGGGTGATCCTTCACAGATACAATCTCCAATCAATTCGCAATTTTGTGTAAATTTTAAACAAAAATTTTAATTAAAATTCGCACATGTTTTGCCTCATTTCGATTCCCATGACTTGTGTCATGTTGACTTGTGTGCACCTTTTTGTGGCATGAAGGTGTCCCAAAAGGGAATAGAACACAATGCATATGTTTGCCCAGGCCCCTCATATTTCTATGGGCCAAGTTAACAAGTTAATTTTCCATATTTTCTTTGGTCCAACTTGGTCACTGCAAAGTCATGTGTGTGTGTCCTTGGTGTCCTTTGTGGTTGGCCGAAGGGTTCAACTTGGAGCTCGACCCAAAGGCCAGATACGCCAGTCAGTGCTAATGAATGGGTTTAAATTGGTGGAAAATTCAGAGACTCCACATGACTGGGAGGGAGAGGAAACTTTAAACAAAATCAACTCCGTACAAAGACTATCCAGGACGTACCCCCCCATCCTCCGGATGTTTGAAAACACCCCAAAAGGGGGCGTGGGCTGGCGATAATCCTTTTGTATCCCATCGCATTGTTTGGCATTTTCACGCAAGAGCAAATCGTAAATGTCAATAGCAGCGCTACTGGGTAATGGGATAAGTCCCCGGATCCCCGGAGCACATACATAGTCGTTGGGCAGGGTGGAATCGGAGCGGTTTTTACATGTGGAGCGACCAACCTGACAATTACAAATAATTCAAAGCTCAAAAGGGCCAACGCTGCGAACACGCCCCTCGCCCAAAAACGAGCAACCAAAGCCAGAAACATTTAAAGACAAATTAATGTGTATTTAAGCTGCCCAAGCCCAGGCCGAAGCCCGCTCCGAGACGCAAGACTAATTGCCCCAAGGAACCGGGGAAAATCTCACGCCTTTGTTGATTAATTAATCAAAGTAAATAGTCGCACTCGGAGTCGAGAGTCGAGCTCTGGCGTCATTAGCGCAATCTAAACGGCCTATTGATAAGCTTTTTCCACACCTAATTGCTACATTAATTTCCCAAAGAGCCGCCAGGCCACACCAGTGGCGATGGCGACCGGGAGGCCGAGTTTCCAGGCAGCGCCTCCGCTCCCGGCGTCCGTGGGAAAGAGCTCGTCCCAGACGGCGTATCGCTCGGCAAAGGCGGGGTCACCCACCTGGGTCGCCACCCCGTTGTAGAGCATCTTCGCATAGGTGGCGTTGCAGGGTGGCCAGTTATCGGTGGTGTTAAGGGGTGTCCTGGGATAATACAGGTTTATAAGGTATTAGAAACCAATAAAAAAGGTAATAAACACTCACCCCGTCTTGGCAAAGTGAGTGAACCAGCTGGTAAAGCGCTCCATCATGAAGACATCGGGATCTCCTTCTTCCATAACTGTGCCATACCAATATCCTGGCATTACGTACTGCAGATCATCGGCATGAGCCACTCCAATGGGTCTTTTATCCGCATCAGTTGGCGAATTTAGGGTTCTCTGGCCAATGTAATCGGTGCGCATATAGTAGACGGGAGACGGCCAGCGCCACGAGACGATGGATTCCATGGCCCAGGATGCTGTCCGAAAATATTTCACCAAACAGATTAATATTATCCTCATTGATCTCTGAGAAGTTTTCTCCCAAATAGAACTCTTTTAGTCTCCGACTTGTGGTCTCATTGGCTTTGTAGAGAAACAATCCCGGAGCATAGTCCTCGAAGTGAGTGGCAAGATCGTGGAGTAAAGGCTCATTATCCTTGTGAACTGTAAAGATAGAGGCTATTTAGTGGGAATTATTAAATTTTAGCAGCCTCTCACCATAGAGGGAGTAATCCAACTCATTTTTCGTGTAGCTAACCAGCAAGGGAACCCTGTTAAAGTAACCATCCCAGAAAATTTCTGTGGGATGTCTGGACAAGAAGTGCCCATCGATCTCGTAGTTCCACTTCATGTTGGTCAACTGATGAGTTTCCCAGGCCTTGCAAACCTCCACAATGCGAGTCCAGGACTCGTTTCGCAGGCAAGTCACCACATCCTGGGGATCGAATATGGGACAGCCCAGTTCTCGGGAGAGTTTCCTTGTCCAGTAAGGATTATCAATGGTATACGTGTTTGTTGTAGATCCACTCATCAGGATGGCACGGTGGAATAGTCCTTCCGAAAGGGGCGAGGCCAGGTGGAGACTGACTGCCATGGAACCAGCACTCATGCCCATGATGGTTACCAAGTTCGGATCCCCACCAAAATGGGATATGTGATCCCTAACCCATTGCCATCAATGGGCCATCACTTGATCCAAATACCCAAAGTTTCCTTTTACTTCCTGGCTATTGGGGTTCAGGAATCCCAATGCTCCTAGACGATAGTTGAAGGCCACAAAAACCACATCATGGTCCAGCAAATACTGAGGTCCTGCCTCGTAAGAGCTATGTCCACTTCCTATAATATTGGCTCCTCCGTGGATGTAAACAATCACTGGTAGCTTGTCCTCAAAGCTTTTGGTAAAGACATTCAGCTTCAGGCAATCCTCGCTCATGTACGAGGTGCTACCAGGTTGTGGACAGACAAAGGAATCCACTGTGGCGTTGAGGAGTTCCTCTCCCCAACCAGGTTCTGGCAGAGGATTGGCAAACCTCAGGTCTCCCACTGGTGGTTGGGCATACCGTATGCCCCGGAAAGCATGGATATTATTTCCCTTGAAGCTCGTCATATTGGAGCCTTGAATTCTGCCCAGAGAAAGCTCTACCACAGGGTTTCCATCCAAAAAGGTGACTCCATTGGAAGAGCACACAGATATCACCAAAATGGTGAAGAGCAAGTGGGGAAGACCCATGCCTGGGTTTTGTCTGAAATGTGAAATAATTTTTTAGTTTATTTCCAGATTATTCCTATCATGGAGTACCCAAACCAAGTAAAGATTGTGTGAACTAAAGGGATACTTGAGCGATTCCCAGAGTCGGTTTCAGTTTTCGCAACAATATTGTTAGTTTTCCCTTTTCGGTGGTGCGCGCCCGCATGCTACGGGTGGTGCGACGGAAGCGTGACTGCAGGTTTCGCACGGTTTTAGCTTCTTTGGATTTCAGGCGACTATCTCAATAGCCACCCAGAGATAAGTTGATCGATTAGACAATCAAGACCAACCAACATATTGTTGGTCAGTTTTTCTATAAAAATATATTTAAGATTACGCCAACTAACATATAAGTATCTACACTCGCTCTCAATCTGGTAATTCATGACCTTGTACTTTAATTGCTGAACTCCAAATCAATTGAGACTTATTGCTTCATTGAGAGATTTTGGGTTTGGGTTAGAGACACATCACCCTGATTTGCACCACCGCTTCGGATCCTACGCCCGCAGATTCTTTTTTTTTTTTAGAGTTTTCGGAGTTGGGTTTTTCTCATGGCCACGACTGAGATTTAAATTGATTTCCTTATTAATGCACATCCCTCTTGTAATATTCAATTAAAACTACCCACGACCTATGCCAGTTCGTTGATTGACACAATCCGAGTGGTAATTACTCGGGCTCTGAGCTCTGGGAGGGATCTCCTTGGGAGCTGTGCAGGAAAAGCGTTGAAAATGATGCCGGCGATGGAAATCCATCCTACAATGATCTTTTTAAAATATATTCCCATTATTGTCCCAGGAAGTTGTTGATCTTCCATTCTAAACAATGAATATTAATATTCCCTTTCAGATCCCAAAAACCACACAGACCCAATTAAATAAAAAGAGGAAACAGTTTTCACACATCGTCGGGTAACAATTTGCGCTTCCAAAAAAATATATAAATTATTAAAAATTGCGACAATCTGCTGCTGCTTTTTAAGGAGCCAAACGCAATATTCCGGACACTTGAGTGCGCATGTGCACACCGCAGCACCACGGGAGGAGCCAAGTCCAGGGCAGGAACTGGAACTTCCACCCTTCCACCTAAGCCGGAGCCGGAGCCACTCGAGTTGTTGCAAATATAAGAGTGGCCTCTTGACAGACATCGTCAGCATCGTTGTGGCAGCCTTGGTTTAAGCTCAAACAGCGCCACTTGAGGGCTCTTTTTGTGTAAGGTTTACGGCATTCTGCGGCAGTCTAGGGCTTCCTGTGGCTTGATGACCTCCCCTGCCAGCTCAGATATGCAAAAATTTCTCACGCATCACAGCCATATGTTTTGTTTGTGTAGGAAACTTGGGAAGTCCTTTACTTGAATGATAAATATTAAAAAGACAATAGTTTTAAATCAAAACTTTTTGATGAAGAAAATCTAGATACTATATAATACCCTGTACATGTCCTTACTAATGTTTTAAATCTCATAGTATAAAAGAACTAATCCAAAACCAAAACCCTCTTTCATTATTTTCCAACAACTTCCGCATTAACCTCAGTCACATCTTGAGAGTGGTTACGCCCTTGGAGGTCATCAAAACTAAAGGTAATTTAAAAGATCGATTTCAATATTGGAACAAAACGCTTGGAGCAGCTGGCTTTTGAGGAGGTCCACTAGAAAACCCAACCATGCTTGGCCATGCAAATTTTCAGATATTTCAGAATTTTGGTTTTCAATAAGTTTGGTTATTAGATGACAACTGAATGGAAACAGTCGCAACTCTCAAGTGACCAACATGCAGGCCGCCTCCAGAAGAATGAAAGAAACACCACGCCCCTGGCTGGAGAGCAATGCTGATGCCAATTCAAATTCTATTTAAAATCTCAAGAACAATGCCGGAGAAAACACAAGGATGGAAAGCAACAATTGCCGCACACGATAAACCAACCAACCAACCAACCACTCGAGTAATCAATCAAAGCGATAGGAAAACTCAGACGTCGCCGTCTTGTAATGAATATTTAAAGATGGAAATTATCGCAATCCGACAAAGGGCCAGGGGCAGGACAAAGGGGCAGAGAGGTCCCCGTCCCCGGCATTTTGCATAACTGATAGCGAAACAATAGACCAATATCGACGAATGCAAACCATGCTCGAGTGTTCAAGCATAATGCGATAATTTGAGCACAAAAGTGCCGTCCAAGGGTACGATATAAGCCATCGGAACGGAGCCTACATACAACATCTTGCATCCTCTAATCGTCAGAACATATTTTCTGTAATCAATACGAGAGGAAGCTAAAGTTCGGAGATCGCCTGGCCTCGCTCAAGTGAGCAAATGTCCTGAACGTCCTGAATGTGAAACAAATAACAAAAAGCCTTCAAGGGCTCGCAGGATCACAAGGAGTGCAGTATTTTCTGTCGGGGTTGCTCTTCTCTTCTCTCTTCAGACCTTTTGTGGTATTGTAATGAGCGTGACGTCTTATTTGTGTAGAGACGAGGGTTAAGGACCCGACCTGGTCCAGGAGAAAGGGTTGGCAGGGAGCCGCAGTTCCCAACAAACCAACAATGCAAATATTTCACACCAATACTGAGCGGTTGTTGGGCACATGGATATTTATTTCCCATCATTGAAGTAATCTAATCAAAGGATATATTATATTCGAATTATGGTGTAACGATGACAAATTCAATTTTTGGGTTAAGCTGCCAATTTTTCGCCAAAGGTATGGCCTTCTCTGTGGGCCATAATGACCCTCCCATGCATTTTCGGGAATTTTGAAGGGGACCCATTGGAAAATTTGACAAAAAATCTAAAAAATATTTTGTTTGTATATTTTGATGCAGATTGATAGAGAATCGGTAAAGAAATCGTTTAAGATACTCCGCTTGAGAATCGGAGGCTTACAGCCAAAGATATGGACTTCGCTGTGTGCCATAATGACCCTCCCATGCATTTTCGGGAATTTTGAAGGGGACCCATCGGAAAATTTGACAAAAAATCTGAAAAATATTTTGTTTCTATATTTTGATGCAGATTGATAGAGAATCGGTAAAGAAATCATTTAAGATACTCCGCTTGAGAATCGGATGCTTACAGCCAAAGATATGGGTTATGGGCCATAATGACCCTCCCATGCATTTTCGGGAATTTTGAAGGGGACCCATCGGAAAATTTGACAAAAAATCTGAAAAATATGTAGTTTCTATATTTTGATGCAGATTGATAGAGAATCGGTAAAGAAATCGTTTAAGATACTCCGCTTGAGAATCGGAGGCTTACAGCCAAAGATATGGGCTTCGCTGTGGGCCATAATGACCCTCCCATGCATTTTCGGGAATTTTGAAGGGGACCCATCGGAAAATTTGACAAAAAATCTGAAAAATATTTTGTTTCTATATTTTGATGCAGATTGATAGAGAATCGGTAAAGAAATCGTTTAAGATACTCCACTTGAGAATCGAATGCTTACAGCCAAAGATATGGGCTTCGCTGTGTGCCATAATGACCCTCCCATGCTTTTTTGGGAATTTTGAAGGGGACCCATCGAAAAATTTGACAAAAAATCTGAAAAATATTTTGTTTCTATATTTTGATGCAGATTGATAGAGAATCGGTAAAGAAATCGTTTAAGATACTCCGCTTGAGAATCGGAGGCTTACAGCCAAAGATATGGGCTTCGCTGTGGGCCATAATGACCCTCCCATGCATTTTCGAGGATTTCGAAGGGGACCCATCGGAAATTTTGACAAAAAATCTGAAATATATTTTGTTTGTATATTTTGATGCAGATTGATAGAGAATCGGTAAAGAAATCGTTTAAGATACTCCGCTTGAGAATCGGAGGCTTACAGCCAAAGATATGGGCTTCGCTGTGGGCCATAATGACCCTCCCATGCATTTTCGAGGATTTCGAAGGGGACCCATCGGAAATTTTGACAAAAAATCTGAAATATATTTTGTTTGTATATTTTGATGCAGATTGATAGAGAATCGGTAAAGAAATCGTTTAAGATACTCCGCTTGAGAATCGGAGGCTTACAGCCAAAGATATGGGCTTCGCTGTGGGCCATAATGACCCTCCCATGCATTTTCGAGGATTTCGAAGGGGACCCATCGGAAATTTTGACAAAAAATCTAAAAAATATTGTGTTTCTATATTTTGATGCAGATTGATAGAGAATCGGTAAAGAAATCGTTTAAGATACTCCGCTTGAGAATCGGATGCTTTTCGCCAAAGATATGGGCTTCGCTGTGGGCCATAATGACCCTCCCATGCATTTTCGGGAATTTTGAAGGGGACCCATCGGAAAATTTGACAAAAAATCTGAAAAATATTTTGTTTCTATATTTTGATGCAGATTGATAGAGAATCGGTAAAGAAATCGTTTAAGATACTCCGCTTGAGAATCGGAGGCTTACAGCCAAAAATATGGGCTTCGCTGTGGGCCATAATGACCCTCCCATGCATTTTCGGGAATTTTGAAGGGGACCCATCGGAAAATTTGACAAAAAATCTGAAAAATATTTTGTTTCTATATTTTGATGCAGATTGATAGAGAATTGGTAAAGAAATCGTTTAAGATACTCCGCTTGAGAATCGGATGCTTTTCGCCAAAGATATGGGCTTCGCTGTGGGCCATAATGACCCTCCCATGCATTTTCGGGAATTTTGAAGGGGACCCATCGGAAAATTTGACAAAAAATCTGAAAAATATTTTGTTTGTATATTTTGATGCAGATTGAGAGAGAATCGGTAAAGAAATCATTTAAGATATTCCGCTTCAGAATCCGATGCTTTTCGCCAAAGATATGGGCTTCACTGTGGGCCATAATGTCCCTCCGATGCATTTTCGGGAATTTCGATCCCCATCCCATCGGAAAAATAACTTTTTTAACAGAAATTCATAGTAATTTTAATAATAAACCCCATATAGTTTCCACCAATGCCCAAGGAACCGCCTCCTCCACAAAGAATTAACAACGTTTTTTATGGGTCTAACATGCCAATAAACTGGCAACTTCAAAGCACGGAACTGCCTTCTCCTTCTCCTTTAATTTTTAAGGCCTACAATAAGAATTGATGTGCACAAGGCCTTGGGCGAACCTTCAATTGGCGGCAGTCTACCCCAAAAGCGGAGAAAAAACTCAATAAACAAAACTCGAAAAAGGGCTAAGTGAACCCTAAAAGTTTCCGTTTTCCATCAGCTCGGACACGAACTCCGAATATTTGGCACTTAATTGAGATTAATTGAAGTTATGTGCCCGATCTGAATAAACAACTTTGCAGCCATTTTGTTTATGAGTGCGTTTTATGTGCACACAACATCGCCGTCTGAAAAATATTATTAATAATTACAAGAGCACTGGCACCCCGAAAATAGTTATACATAGACCCCGAAAAACCCTCGGCCAGACGACCGAAAATTTTTATTAAATTAAATTGAGTGCGACGGAGTTTGTGGAGCGGCGGATGTTGTATGTATCTTATAGTAGCTGCGATGCAAATCAAATTGTATTGAGCCCGAGGCATATGAGAGGTCTTTGGTGATCCCGAGGTGAATGCACTCCACGATGTTGATTCTAATGTTATGGATCTCCTGACTGCCCCTCAATTGGTGGTATATGTGCGTGTTAATAGCCGTCGTTCGTTGTAAGTCAAAACTAGCTATTTAAGCTAATTGACATTCAAATGCAGTTGAATAAACTTTTATTTTTTGGACTGAAGTTGCACCAATAATAGACCAGTTCATTGGCTTCTGTGTAGTAGTTGTTTTATAAATTTTATAAATTGATTTAAGGTTTTACAGCACCACAGGATCATTTATCATCAACCCCATCGACAACCCTAACAGCGCCCATCATTTATAAATTGCCGCATCAAATAAAGCCAAAACGCTTGAGTAAATCCATTTAATTGCCGTCTGCGAGTCCTTGATGTCCGTAAAATATTCGTACTGGCCTGGGACCGGCCTCTGCAATCAGGATTCGCGAAAGGATTCCCCCGGATGTGTTCGCACTCCTGTAAACATGCGTTTGTCATTAGACACACCGGAAATATTGATAGCATTCGACACGCGGCACACGGCCAAGCCCGAAAGTCCTGATACATCCTGTGAGAGGAACTTGCCACTTAATGTGCCAGTTGATTTTTTAAAATTGTAAAATTTTAACAATTGTTTTCCCAAGTTTCGCCTTTTCGGTTGAGTAAACAGCATTAGATCTTCGAGGATCGGGTGGTTTTTTTTTTATTTTTATATTTTAAAAGAGGGGTGTCCCTGTCCCTTCGTACGTGTGTCCTTTGTCTGGGGCGTCTTTGTTTGGCCTGGAGTGTCGTCGCCATGTCGAATTGTCGTGTTTTTTAACTGAAGTACCTGAAATTTTACAGTTTCGGCTTTGGTTTTTTATTATTATTTTCATTCCATGGAGACTGAGAGTTTACTAATTAGATTTTATTGCGTATCGCGAATCGTTTTGTCTTCTCTGGCAAGTGTGAAGAATTCTACATTCTTTATGGTTGCAGTTCTTTCTTTACCTTAAACTATTGGGACTTTGATTACATTGCAGTAGGGTTCTAGGTTCTAGGAATTTTATATTTTTGAGTAAAGTATCCTGCAAAATGCCACGCGCTTCGAAACAATCGGAGAAGTTTTTAGATTTTAAAAGATTTTCAAATGCGGGTATCTGCGGATGGATTGTGGGAGAGGGCCTGAGAATGTGATGTAATCCAATGCCATAATTTTCACAAACACAATGCAAATGCAAATAGTATGCATCAGAAGGAATTTGGGCTTAGAATCCTCCCGAAAACCTATTAAATCGTGGGAAAATATTAAAATACATATTTTTCGCTGGTAATCCTTTGTCCTAACGAGACAATGAGCCAGTGTGTGAATACTCGTGTAAACATTTCCTGGCCAGTAAGCCCATTAAGGGAACAGAAGGACCAGCACCTGACCTCAACCGAACTCGAATGAGATGACCCGACCTCAGGTTTGTTTGGACAGATTAGTGAGCCAAGCTACTAAGCCGGCGATCAAGCGATCACTTGTCTCCAATGACGAGCTGCCTTTACATTTCAATTTTTTTCCCAATTCTAATTCCATTATACCATTTTTCGAGGCCCTTCGTCCGATATCGCTGGCCAGCGATCTCTCCCGTTCGAGGCCTCATGCGGAGTGTGAAAGGTATTATCGCATTGACTCGATCTACCATCGCCAGGAGTATCCCTGAGTCCCCGAATCCCTGTGTAGTTGTTGTCGTTTATGTTTTCAGTTTCATTTATCAGTTTGTGGAAATGCCACAGAACAATGAGAAATTATGAGACTTGCTTTAAATCATTTACCATCATGATCATGATCCGGGGTAGTTCTAACTTGGCTCATTGGCCATCTTATCGCACTGCTGGGATCTCTGGTTATTGGGATTTTCTAGTCGTTAGTTGCCAATCGAGTGAATATCCTCTATATGCGGTTTAATTGCGGACGTACCGAGTTTGACTTTTTCATCCTTCAATTTTCCGGAGCTCCGGAGGGAAGTTTCACTTAATTAGCTGCGAATTGTTGTTTCCCCGGGAAGTCATAAGATGTGTGATGGTTGATAAGCTTCCGTTCCAAGAGAAAGCATAAAACTTTCTACTCTAAAGGGGATGAATTCGTAATATTAATCAAGGGATCAATGACTACAAGTCTTAATAGTAATATATTTATTTTTAAGAAAGCACTTTCAACTCTTTTTTCTTAAAAACTATAGATAGTTCTCAGGGTAACCCCGTCCATATGCCTAGCACTCACTCTAATCCCTGACCAAATCCCTAGCATCTCTATCCCTAGCCAGGGGGCGTTACTTCCCACAGACACCGCAAAACAGATGGGGTAGAATTCCGAATTTACGATGACATTTATGCGTAATTTTTGGTTTAGTTTTATGGCCAGATCTTCGAAATCATCGGAAAGAGTTCTGACACCCGCAGCGAGAGTGTCTAATAAATTTGATTGGAAAGTGATCGCCAGTAATTGAAACGGAACAGTTAATTTCGGGCATCATTAAAGGGCCACACCCACCGGAAAAGTAAAACCAGGTAGTCGAGGACGACCTCTCCAGGACTTCCAGCCTCACCATATAGTATATGCAACGTCATGACTTTCTTCCGTGTCAACGCCTCTCGATTCAATCCCGAGTCCCAGGAGCACCCTTTCCCATTGTCACCACCCCGGTAATCCTTTTGTAGCTCCTATCGCGTGCTACGATCCTAGTCGACTCCTTGGGAGAAAAAGGCGCCGCGGGTTGCTCGCTCAGTTCGTGTCATAATTGCATGGCTTTCTGGTCGTGGAAGTGTGAAAATTACTATGGTCTCTGGTCTATGGACCTCACCCTTTCAGGAATCTTAATGATTATGTTTGTTGGGTTTATCTCCGACTTGAGATCGTTGGACGAAGGGGCCCCGTTAGGAATTTGTTTGCCAACTTTGCTTCATTCATATGCGTGAGTTATGGTATTCCTTTTTTTTGGGCTTCTAGGGGTTGCTTTTCCTTCAAAGGACTCTTTTATTTCCTTTTTTTTTGTTGTTGCTTTTTTTTTTGCGTGCTAAATTGTGTTTTATGTTCAGAGTCTATAGCTGATCTCAGCTTGAAGATAGGACTGCCTTCAAGACATTTCAATTTCCTATTTTTTTGGCAAACGTTTAATTTTTTATCGCCTTGAAGATCGTGAGAAGTAATGCCGTTAGTCTAGGGATGACGATAAAATAATGTAAGATTATGTAATCAGAAATATGGAATACTGTAAACTTCTAAGATCTTTAAGCTTTAATATTTATCCTCAGAGCGTACCTCTCCTCTTCTCTTCAAGTACTGTTAAGTCCTTTGATGGAGTAACTGTCACTGCTCTCTCACCCAAGCGACTCCATTTTGTTTGGAGCTCTTGTTTGCTCTCCATCCCATACCCCCTACCCCTCGCTTCAAAGCAAATACATCGCATCTGCCGGGCTACTATCGCCAGGTGTACCCATCGGAGCTCCTGCCATCCCCAGATGCCCCCTCTCCCCTCTCTTGTGTTTTAAACTTTTTTCTGTACTTAATTAGCTTTGACTGGGGAGGGGGGGACATATGGTGCATGCCCCTTCCATTGGGTTAATATCGTACAATTATTCAGTGGAGCGCGTGCTGCAACCGCAGGTGCTAGAGCAGAGCAGCACCACAGCTTGTTCCTGTTACCGTTCTCATTCTCCTCTCCTCTCCTCGCTGTAGCTCCACTTCCACTTCCACTTCCAATTTCCAGCTCCCATCTCACATTTCTCCCAGGTGCTGGTGCTACCAATCAAACCAGCTCGTGCTCGAAACTCTCTCGCTCTCTCTCTGCTTCCAGTTTGAAGTACCGGATAAGCAGAGACTGGAAGTCAGCCAATGGCATGAACCAACCCCGGTTTAACCCCGTGCGGCTAGCTCTGTGAGGCTTCGGCTGATAGCAACTTAACAGATCTGCGCACAGCGGGACCAGTTAGTCAGCCTTGCGCAGTCGATGCGAACGGACGCGTCGTTCTCCAAAAGAAAAAAGACCAGAAAGTAGAACCAGACTTGAATCAGAAAATACCACAAAGACCTTCTAAAAAATCGCGAGTGTTGAAATTTAATAAAATTTTCGAAAAAAATGGTATTGAACGGTATGACAATGCCAATGCCAGTGCCCCTGCCCGTGCCCAGTCCTCCGGCCACAAAGTCTCGAGTGGCCATCGACTGGGACATCAACGACGCCAAGATGCCGTCGGTGGGAGAGTTCGATGACTTCAGTGACTGGGCCAATGGACACTGCCGCCTGATCTACTCCTCCCACAGCGACGAGGCCAGGAAGCACGCCAGTGGCTGGGCCATGCGGAACACCAACAACCACAACGTCAACATTTTGAAGAAGAGCTGCCTGGGAGTGCTCCTCTGCAGTGCCAAGTGCAAGCTGCCCAACGGTGCCAGTGTCCACCTGAGACCCGCCATTTGCGACAAGGCCAGGCGGAAGCAGCAGGGCAAACAGTGTCCCAATAGGTGGGTTTACCAAACCGAGATCCTTCCTCGTAGCCGAAACTAACCTTAAAATTTCAATTTATAGAAACTGCAATGGACGCTTGGAGATCCAGCCCTGCCGTGGACATTGCGGCTATCCAGTCACCCACTTCTGGCGACGAGACGGCAATGGCATCTACTTCCAGGCCAAGGGCACACACGATCACCCCAGGCCGGAGGCCAAGGGATCCATTGAGGCCAGACGCCTCCTGGCCGGAGGAGCTGGAAGACGCGTGCGCAGCTTGGCCGTGATGCTGGCCCGGGAGTCGGCCCTCAGCGACAAGCTGAGCAGCCTGAGACCCGCCAAGCGCCAGGCCAAGACCCAACTGATGCAGGAGGGTGGTAAACGCAAGAGGCTGGCCAGTGGCCAGGAGATCAGCCAAAGTAACCAGGACATGCTGGTAGTCTCGGCCTGCCTGCCGGCCACAGCCACATCCACTCCCACAACACAGAATGGAAACTTCAATCAGAACCAAAGCCCGTACAGCTCGACAGGATCCAGTCAGTGGAGCGGGGAGCTGTACTACGGACCGGAGGGCCAGACCGGATATCACAACGGAGTGTATGACTACGACATGCTCCACTCGCCGCTCTCCTCCCACAGCTCCACGGGCAGCTACTACACGGAGAACCTGCCCCAGCAGATGCCGCCCCAGCAGCCACAGCAACACCAGCAGTTGTCCACCAGCTTCGAGCAGCCCATCGCCTCCAGCTTCCAGTGCGGCATGCCCCTGTACGAGAGCTGCGACGACACCTCCAGCCTGACCAGCAGCTCGGGCTACAGCTCCGAGGACTACAGCTACTTCAACGGCGGCTATCTGCCCAACGTTCTGGACGTGAGCAGCCAGACCAACCAGAGCCACAATCCCAGCCAGGACAGTAGCTTCTACACCACCAGTTCGGAGATCTTCAGCGTGTTCGAGTCGACCCTGAATGGAGGAGGAGCCACTGCCGTGGATCTGCTGTACGACGAATCGGCCGCCTATCAGCAGGCGGGGCAGAGTAACTTCCTGCCACTCACCAGCTACCAGGTGGAGCAGCAGGATCAGCTGCAGAACGGGGACTACTACTACAGCAACTCGGGAGTGGACAACGTGTGGAACATCCAGATGGACTCGACCTACCAGCCAGCCCCGGCCTACTGCTAGGAGTCGAGGACATGACCCACAGATCTCTCCATGAGCCAATGACTGACTCAATCGATCCACTCAAGCGTTGTTCTAGTCCCTAGTTGGTTTCCATTTATGTTCCCATTGCTTGTTGGTTCAACTATTATGTAAGAGATATTGAATTGTACTAGTATGTTTCTAGTTGGTACTCTGGTACATGTTTCCCCAGCTATTCCAAAGTTTTAGTAAAAGTAAGAATAATATTTGTAATCTTTAATCTTAAATCTTAAATCTGTAAGAGTATTAAGCCGCATTGCCCACCTATTTATGAACATTTTTGTGTAAAAATAAACGATTTTTGAGAAAACGAAATCAATGGTTGCCCTTTCGATGCTTATAAATGGGCAGGGAAAAGACTTGAGAATCGAATTCCGCCCCGGGGGGTCTCCAGACCCTGCTCCTTCAAGCGTAAGTATTCATTGAAAGAAACGTATATAATCGCAGGGATATTCGAGTCTGGGAACTTCTTGGGAAGAACGACATGTAACTTTACGCAACAATGATTACTATATGCTTTTGTTCTAATTAACAATAATAGGTTTTGTTAATAAATTAGCATTAGAGAGAGATTTTATGATAATTTAATTGTTAAATCTATAATCCCTGACATATTTATCCTAATTTTTTTTTAATAGTTTACTCAACGCCTGCCTGAAAAAAATATTTCAAGGGCAATTAAAAGGCTTAGCTCCTGTCAAAGGCCTCTCAAAATTTTTATTTTCTATTTTGTATTTTTTTTTTCTAAACCGATTATAAATAATTAAAATAAAAAAAAAAGGTCGATTGTTGGGAAGGGGTTGGACCAGCACCAGTACCAGAACCAGGAGTACTCGAACCCTAATGGGGGTTTGATCTCGAAACCATAAACAAAACGCCCATTAGTTGTCATGTCCCTGGCTGGGAAAGTGTGCCGCCGGCGCGTGCGTATCCTTTCAAGGATATTCGCGCACCTAAAAAAGAGGAATGACTTTGTTTCTAAACTTTTACTACTATTTGCATATATAATTCGAGTACCCTTTAGGGTAAATGAAAACATTTAAAATATTTTGATTTCATTTATGTTAATTTCCAGCCATAAATCACAAACCGAACGTGTGCTTCCTGTCTTCCTGCCTGCTCCTGCTCCTGCTACTGCTATTTGTCCTTGGTGTTTGATTAGCCCTCCACCCTAGAGTCCTAGAGTCCCAGAGTCCTTGCATGCAAATGAGAGTCACTGACTCTGATGTTCATTTGGTGTTATCCTTCGTAGGACGAGGGAGGGTTATAGTTGGTTGGCAAAAAGGCATTATGCAAATTAACTGAAGCTGATCCCAATGTAATTCAATATGCGCGTGAATGAAGGTCCTGCATCCTTTGAGGTTTTCCCAAATTCGCAAATTCGCAATTCAGCAAACTAATTTTAAATTCATGCCAATATTATACGCTCTTAATTTGTAAATCTGCTAATGGAGATGTCTTCATCAAGGGTTTCATGCAAAAATATCTCCATCTAGTTATCTTTTTTCTGAAAATTTTTGAAAATCTTAAAAATTTTAAACCCAGTAGGCTATATTAGTTAACCAGCCAATAGCTCCAACTATTTCAGTTCATATCATATTCGTATTTCGACTAAAACACATCAGTGTACATTTTTTGGGAAATTTTTAAATCGGGTTTTTATACCATATTCTACAGCAGTTTAGAACCCAATTTCGTAATAAAATTGTACCAAAATTTATTTAAAATTTTACAAAAATTAATTCTAAAATTTATTTTATAGAATTCAGTCGGTATGGCTCCTCGTTGGAATCAAAATAATGACACCCCCGACCGCAAACTCGGTGTCTCTGCCCGTTCCCGGGTCATTCGGCGTCGCCCACTCTTCCAGGGTGTAGTGGGCGTTCGGGCCCAGCGCCGTGGCCGTCTCTATACCATTCGTGAGATCCAGATCTTGGGCCGTGACATTTCTCAAAACCACGAGGAAGAAATGGCGGAGCTCTCGCTGATGGCCACCAGAACTATGACTGAACAAGAGCTACCGATGTACATCGATGTAACCGCCGGGCGCGATGTGGAGCTCCGTGATGAGGAGTTCTTCTATATGGAGCCAGTTCTGTTCCTCCGTGATGACTATGACACAGATATGACCTTTGGATGTGGTCAGGCTGTGGAATCTGGATCCTCTTCTACTGACGAGGATGGTGAGGAAGAAGAGGATGCCGACGCCAATGAGGAAGAAGAGGATGCCGAAGCCAATGAGGAAGAGGAGGATGCCGAAGCCAACGAGGAAGAGGACGAGGAAGAAGACGAGGAAGCCAACGAAGGGGATACCGACGAATCCGAGGAATCGGAGCAGGGCCACTCCACCGAATAGAGAGGGCTCCTAGTTAGTTTTAGGGTTCATATATTTTATAGTTCTCCCAGAAACCACAAAACTGCTTTCAAAAAATAATTTCAATAATTTCAAATTTCAATGTGTAACCAATAAAAGATGGAAGTTACTAGCTGTCAGTAACTAGTATTACCCACTAATATTAATAGTCCTTAAAAAGGTCGGGACATCCTGCTACCAGCATTTGATGGATGGACCAGATCGAGTGTGACTTTTGTGACTCCTGGCACATCATCAACCTCGGATCAACCTCGGATCAGTGGAGAAATCAAAACCACAGCTGCCGCTTCTGGGGAAAAACGATTAACTATTTATTTAATGTGTTATGTAAGAGTAGAGGCCACAAAGGCGTGTGTTGCCACAATAAAGTCGACAAGCCTGACAATGTGGCGAAATCGCATCCGAAACTATTTAGGAGAGGCCACTTCAAAGGACAATGGGAGTCCTGGCAGCCAATGAGGCGCGCTTAATTCGCCTTGAATGAGTCCTGCTGGATCCACTAGATCCCTGATCCGAGGAAACGACCTGAAAAATTCGAGTGACATCCGTGTCCCGCAAATTGTGTGGTGCGGTGCGGTGTGGTGTGGCCTGTTTATTGCCCGACGAGGAGCGGGGTGGGTCAGCGTGGAAAAACGCCCGCAAACAATGCCAGGGTTTTCATTGTTTTACCAAAAAAAAAAAAAGGTATCTTGACACAAGCGAAAAGCCAACTAAAAAAAGAAAATAAATTCAAAACTATATTACTTTCCAGTTTATTAAAATTTTTGGTTTTAAAAAATATTAAATCGTATTTAAGGAAAGGAATGGGGTTTTAAATAGAAAATTAAAATTAATTTAAGGCTGTATTTCAAACTGTGTAAAAATAATGATAATGAAAAATATAAGCAAACAAAGCAAAACATTTTAAAAAAATATATTTTTATAATAATCTATAGCTAGCGCCACCTACTTAGATTTTTAAAAACTATAAACGTTATTTTAATCGATAATTCGATAGCTTAGCTTTGGTGTTGCCAACTCTAAGATTAACTTCCAGCGCCATCTATAAGTGACGATAGAAAAACATGACTTTGGGCACACTAATACCACAGTGGGACCAAAACTATATAACTTGCCACTGTGCGCAACAAGTCGAATTGCCGCATAGTTTTTTTTAGCAGTTGCAGATTCGCGAACACATAACACAGTCCCCAGAACAAAGTTCTTCCAAAATCCACATAAAATAGAATAATAGTTAAGCATAAAGTGAACTTCGAACAAATTTAAAGGCTGTGCAATGTCGGCAACCAGATTTCTGAGTGCAGTTGGACAAATATCCCGGCAGCAGTTGTTGCAGAATAAGTGCACCAGAGGTGAGTAATAAAAGGGGGGTTCCAATTACAAGGACTAAAAGCTAGAAAGGGGGTACAGTACAGGTGCGAAAGGTGCGACTTTCCCTTTCCCTATCCCTTTCACTCTTTCGCTCCCCCGCGGACGCTGGCGCATAACTGGACTTTGCACTTTGTACTCTTCTGTCGCTTGACGTCGACACTTGGCGTCTCTTTCGCGACTCGCCGAGTACTCGGAGATAGCGGCGACCACTAATCGAAATCTTTAACCCCTCGCAGCCCTGCCCGTTTCGAGCCAGCTGCTCCTCCAGCAGCACCGCCGCCTCATGTCCACCAACCCCGCTCCCGCTGTGGCCGCTGCCAACAAACATCTGCACACCAAGGTGGTTAACGGTGTCCTGGTCATCCGGTTCGACTCCCCCAACGCCAAGGTCAACTCCCTGGGCAGCGAGGTCAGCAATGAGTTCGAACGCGTCATCAAGGATCTGGAAACGAACCCCGCCGTCAACTCGGCGGTGCTCATCTCCGGCAAGCTGGGATGCTTTGTGGCTGGAGCCGATATCGGTATGCTGGAGAACTGCCAGACAGCGGAGGAGGCCACCCTGATCTCCCACGGGGCTCAGCTGATGTTCGACCGCATGGAACGCAGCCGGAAGCCCATTGTGGCCGCCATCAACGGCGTCTGCCTGGGCGGTGGTCTGGAGCTGGCCCTGGCCTGCCACTACCGCATCGCCACCAAGGACAGCAAGACCAAGCTGGGCTTGCCGGAGGTCATGCTGGGTCTCCTGCCCGGCGGTGGCGGCACTGTGCGTCTGCCCAAGCTCACCTCCGTGCCCACGGCCCTGGATCTGGAGCTGACCGGCAAGCAGGTGCGCGCCGACCGTGCCAAGCGACTGGGCATTGTTGATCTGCTGGTGGATCCCCTCGGACCTGGACTCCAGCCGGCCGAGCAGAACACCATCGAGTATCTGGAGAAGACTGCCGTGCAGGTGGCCAGTGACCTGGCCAGCGGAAAGATCCGCGTAAGATCTTGAAGAGTCGGGGTTTTGGAACATATCTAACATCATATCTTCCAGGTTAACCGCGAGAAGACCGGCCTGGTCAACAAGATCCAGTCCTTTGTGATGGAAACCGATTTCGTGAAGAACAAGATCTTCGACACGGCCAGGAAGCAGGTCCTGAAAGCCTCCAATGGACTCTATCCCGCTCCCCTCAAGGTAGGCCATTCCCTAAAGCTTTCCAAACGAGATTCTTTCGTAGTGACTCCAACAGATCCTCGATGTGGTGCGAGCTGGCGTGGACAAGGGCTCCGAGGCGGGCTATGAGGCCGAGCGCAAGGGCTTCGGTGAGCTGTCTGCCACGCCCGAGTCCAAGGGCCTGATCGCCCTTTTCCGTGGCCAGACGGAGTGCAAGAAGAACCGCTTCGGCAAGCCAGAGCGGCAGGTCAAGACTGTCGGTGTCCTGGGTGCTGGCCTGATGGGCGCCGGCATCGTCCAGGTGTCCGTCGACAAGGGCTACCAGGTGGTGATGAAGGACGCCACCGAAGCCGGCCTGGGCCGCGGCATCGGTCAGGTGCAGAAGGGTCTGGAGACCGCTGTGAAGCGCAAGCGAATCTCGGCCCTGGAACGCGACCAGACCCTGGCTAACCTCCGACCCACCCTGGACTACAGCGACTTCAAGAACGCGGACATCATCATTGAGGCCGTGTTCGAAGACATTAAGATTAAGCACAAGGTGATCAAGGAGCTGGAGGCTGTGGTGCCCGAGCACTGCATCATTGCCACCAACACCAGCGCCATTCCCATCACAAAGATTGCCGCCGGCAGCTCCCGTCCCGAGAAGGTTGTGGGCATGCACTACTTCTCGCCCGTGGATAAGATGCAGCTGCTGGAGATCATCACCCACCCAGGCACCTCCAAGGACACCGTGGCCCAGGCCGTGGCTGTGGGCCTCAAGCAGGGCAAGGTCGTCATCACCGTGGGCGATGGTCCTGGTTTCTACACCACCCGCATTCTGGCCACCATGCTGTCGGAAGCCATAAGGTTTGTGAATATCTTGGTAGGATTGGGTATCTTGGATTAACTCTCTCCGCTTTCGTCTTGCAGACTGCTCCAGGAAGGCGTGGATGCCAAGGATCTCGACCAGTATACCAAAAAGTTCGGCTTCCCCGTGGGTGCCGCCACCCTGGCCGATGAGGTCGGCATCGACGTGGGCTCCCACATTGCCGTGGATCTGGCCAAGGCCTTCGGCGACCGTTTCAGCGGCGGCAACCTGGAGGTGATGAACGACCTGGTCCTGGCCGGCTTCCTGGGCCGCAAGTCTGGCAAGGGCATTTTCCTCTACGATGGCCAGTCGAAGGGCTCCCGTCCGATCAACAACGACGCCCTGGAGATTGTCAAACAGAAGTACTCCCTGGTCTCCAAGGGCGCCAACACACCCGAAGACCTGACCCTCCGCCTGGTGTCGCGTTTCGTCAACGAAGCTGTGCTCTGCCTGGAGGAGAAGATCCTCGATAGCCCACTCGAGGGAGATGTGGGCGCTGTCTTCGGCCTGGGCTTCCCGCCATTCTCCGGCGGACCCTTCCGCTGGGTCGATCAATACGGAGCCGGAAAGCTGGTCAGCAAGATGCAGTCGTACGCCGAGCTCTACGGCGCTCCCTTCAAGCCCGCCCAGACCCTCCTGGACATGGCCAAGGACCCATCGAAGAAGTTCTACCCCAAGACTGGCTCCTCGAAATTGTAGATCCGATCCGATATCAGCCAACGATACTTAGCTTGTAGTTCGAAGACAGGGCGTGTCCCTGGGCATTTCTCTTGTAGTGGGCATAGCCCCCCATCCAGAACATCCTCTGAAGAAGTCATCCGATTTCTTAAAATATTAAATATATAGTTTGTCGTATTCTCGGATCGTTTATTATTTTGACACAGCAGTTTTGATATCCTTATAACTCGTGACTTAATATGGAACAGCTTTGTACATCGATTCTGTGGCTTAATCTCTACAAGTACACATATATACACATCCTTAATCCTAATCTTGAAGCTCGTCGTCACAAACCAGAAGGAATAGTCGAGCTTGATGGCTTGGCGGGATTGGAAACCTCTGGAGCCCCCACCTGTAACACAACACATGGACCGTGAGCGGATTGGAGTCCCCCCTTAAGTAACTCTTACATCGTACATCCTAGTTTCTAGTTAAGGATTCACTGTTTCCGCCAATCTCGGCCAGCAGTGCGTCTCGACTGTTTCGAAACACTGTTCACTGATCCCCCATTGCTGCTACTGCCACTGCCGTTGAGCAGTCCACCTCCGTTGCAACGCTCCTGGGAGGGATAGCGGGTGACCACGTCGTCGATCAGCTCCAGGATGCCGATCTTGAACTTGCGACGCTGCTGGGCCGTCAGGTTGGCAATGTCCGGCAGGATGCTGCGAAAGAAGTCCATGTCCGCGGCCTCCGAGACACTGAGGCCGCCGTAGAGATTGCCTCCGTTGGTTATCGTGCTGGTGGCCTCGCACTCCGTCTTGATCCTCTTGGCGCTACTCGCCTCGAACGACGGGGCATGGTGCTCCATGGACAGACTCAGGGAGTGGGGGTGGTAGTGCAGGGGCGGTGGGGTGCCGCGACCCGAGTCACCGTACATGAGCTGGGACCCGGTCTCAGCCAGCTGGACGTCGGGAATAAAGTTCTGCATGCTGTCCGCGCTCGCCGTTTCGCTCCTGGCGGGTGATCCCGGTCCGATCTTCTCATGGACGGCGTTGGGGGTGTTGGGCGCCGCCACCCCCCTCTGCTGGCAGAGAGTGCTGGCCACCGTGGGATCAAAGGCATCTATAGTCTCCTCGTCATCGTTCTCCGATATCGAGTGCTTCATCACCATCATGTCCTCGCTGGGATCTCCCCCGTTCCTGTGGATGTTCTCGTTGTTGGTAGTGGCGATGTTGGAGCAGTAGATGTTGTCCGATCCGATCAGGTGCGGCATACTATGATGCTGAGATAGCTGATACAGGGACGCCAGGCTGGAGTTGCTCTCCAGGGAGTTCCGCGTGGACTTCAGGAAGGGCAGCAGAAAGGCCATGTGCTCGGTGAGATAGTAGGGCTTGTGTTGGGGCTCCGACCCAGCCTGTTGCTTGATGTACCGGGAGAGGCAGGCGCGCAGATTCCTCCAACGTTCCTTGCAGTGGATCACTAGGGGATGAAAGGTATCCTTTGGTTATCAAAGATGGTTATCGGAAGGGCTTCTTGAACTCACCACTTTCCCGGGTCTCCTTGGATATCAGAACCCAGGCCTTCTCCTGGTTGTCTCTGGAAGGGTTAATCGTTAGAAGATCCTGGTAGTTAGCTATTCTGGTTCTTAACCCACCTGTTGCGGTACTCCGGCACCTTCTTGTCGTAGAGACACTTGTGGTGCCGCACCAGGTTCACGAATCGTATGTTGAAGTCCTCGTCCGCCTGCATCACTCGCGAGGTTCCCGATCCCAATCTCGTTGGACTGCGTTGGTAGTTGAACCCGTTGGGGGCGGTGGTGGTGGTGGAGCTTTCGATGTTCTCCCGCTCCTCGCTGTCGTGCTTGGTGGTGTTGTTCCTGCTGTTCGTGGTGCTATTGCTCCGCGTTGAGGTGGTCATACTTAGGGCTAGATTAGGGCTAGAAATATAGGAATTTTTTAAACTATTAGTATAGCTACTAACTTTTAATTTAGTTATTAATTAGCAACGTTCTGGGGTTTTGAAAAAGACCTTTAGTTAGTTAAGATCTGAAAGAGTATTCAGTTTGGCAAATACTCAAATATTAGACTTGCCGCACCCCTCCCTCCCCCTCCCACTCACCATACCTATTCAGACAAACAAAGAGAATTCTCTTCGAATCTTTTGCGTTTTCGTTTTCTTTCTATTTTTTTTGTTTTTTTTTTTTTTGTGCATGTTGTTGCTTGTTTGTGTTGGTTGGTGTTGCTGCTGTCTCAGCAAACGGCGATAGAGCTTTTTAGCTTCTGCTGCTGCTGCTCTGCCCGGCAATGTTATATTCTTCTTGTTGTTGTTATTGTTGTTGTCATATATATTTTGTGAAACTTAATAAAACATTGCGGCCAGACTTTGTTGTAGTTGTATCATTATTTTCAGTACAGTTTTTGCAAAACTGGAAAGCACCGAGCAACGTTGATGTTGACAACGACAGCGACAGCGACAATGGAACGGCAGCAACTTTGTTTACTTTTCATATTATTATAGCTACAACAACAACAAAAGCAACTCGAAATAACAGGCAGCCATAAAAATAAAAGGCTATTTGGATGTTTGTGCTGCCTGGATGTTGTTGTTGTTGTTGGTCTTGTGTTTTTTTTATTGCTTTTGTATCTGGCAATGTTGCTTTGAGTTCTTTCCGCCTTATTGTTGTTGTTGTTTGGTTTTAATCGACCTGGCTGAAAGCTTTGCCTGGTTCACTGATAACAGTAAAAATAAAAGAAAAACAAGCAACAAAAGCATCATCAGCAACATCAGCCAAATGTTGCAACATGCGAAAACATGTTAAGCAAATGCATCCACATTTGAGTCACGAATAGGTGTCCGGGCACTCACTCGCCGCACTCACTCTCTCACCTCATAGAGTTACTCGCAAATTGAATTGCTCTCGCACCTGCAACTCCACTACTTACTACCTCGACTACCTGTTTCGATTCTAATCGACCCACTCACCAACGCACTCCGCTCCTCTTGCAACTCACTCAGCGGTTTTTCCGCCGATATGCCCCTTTACGTTGGTTTTCCCGATCGATCCCACACCTGCCTGCTGATTTCAAGAAACATACCAGTGCAGCCATAAATCGGTTGAAATAATAAGCTATAGTATTTGAAAAAAAATATATAGAAAGCTAAGCTAAGAAAGCTAAAATTCATACAAATTCATACTATTCATAAGCTTTATTTTGATTTAAAATTTTTTTAATAATTCTATGATATCAAATAATATAATTCTATAATTCAAATAATAATTCATATGTATATGTATATTATATTTGAAGTTTCAGTAACAAAAGTAGATCGAGTACTAATATTACGTTTTTGGCATGCTAATATGGTTCCTCTGAATAAATAAGGTTTCAAATTTTAAGATTTCTAAGGAGTATAATTTTCATATCCAAGCCAACAATACCTTTTTTAATACCTCATATCTAACGAGTTCTATTTCAATATTTTTAGTTGGAAATGGTTAAATCATTACTTCTAATTTTTCTGTAGTGTTATTAAAACGTATTCACGAAAATATACCAAAGATATATACAAAATATCCTGCTATTGCTACATATTCCACATGTCTTGAGTATTTAGCCATTTATACATTTTGTCAGATTTTCTTTAAAATAAAAGTTAACAAGAAGTATCAGAAATTTTAATCTTTAATATTCGCGCCTATATTTGTCAAAATTTTAAAATAAAAATTGTATAAAAACTTGATAGACTTAAAGATTCGACTCAAATATGTTTCTTACAGGGTTCTAAAGAGGTTTTCTATATTAAATAATAGATCTAGCTTTAAATAAGCTAAAATGACAACTCGGAACCAAATCTTTAAAAGATTTCCCGCCACTTTCAGCACCTTGCGCTGAGGCCCACCAGTTTTGAGAAAAACGTGCGCACAGTGGTCTTAAATCATTGAAAAATGCATACTTTTTTCTTCTAAACTATATTCTATAATATACTATACTAAACTATACTATACTATACTATACTCTTCTATACTATATTATATTTTTTTCAGGGTGTTAAAATTGTACAATAACAAGCTGTTGTTTACTCTTTCATATTATATTTATTGTATTATTTTTATTATTTTGTAATTTCTAGCAAAGCAATCTTCTAACATCTCACGTGTTAATGTAATATGAAATATTTAAAAAAAAATGATAAGAAACTGTATAAGGAACCACATTCTTATCAGTTCCTTGAAGCTTTTTGATTAACTACGAAAACTAGTCATTTCATGATAATCATTAGCGTTTTATTGGGAAAAAATAATTGCAAACTAAGAGTATATTTTAAAAATCTAAGAATTACAGAGGTTTTTCTAGGATTTTTTCCTAATCTCTATGTATTACCACTAACCCTATAACATAACTTAAACTAATCATAAGTGTTAGAATAAATAATATGTAACTAACACTAATAATATTAATTACTTTAATTTTAAAATAGTATATAAATTAACAAACGTTCTTTTCTCAGTTGAAAAGTATCTTAACCCTGTCTATTTAATTTTAAACAATACAATTTTAAAAAATGTATAAAATTTTATACTTAATTTAACCCACTGTTCGTGTAAGAATTGTTTTGTTGTTTTTCCCCCTTGATCATCATTATTATCAAAGTACATCATTATGATGGGGAGCAGTGTGCGCGTGTTTTGGTTCTAGCCAATGTACGCTAATGTTGTTGTTGTTTTTATTATTATTGTTGGTTGGCTATAAAGAGTGGGTGTTCAGAGAAGGGTGAGGGGTGGCTATACCAACCTGGCTATAGCAATATTTATTGTATTACGTCTATTTAACATAAACATGTATCAGCATGAGCGCCTCGGTTGGTCTGTGTACTTGTACTCTCAGAAATGTTCATGTTTATATATTAGCAACAACAACAACAACAACAACAACAACAAATACATATAGCAGCGGGGGGAACTAACTAAAAAAGTACAGCTACAGAGCAACAAAATAAAGTAAAAAAAAAAAACAAAAAAAATAAAGAAAGAATATATTTCTAAAGCTAACAAAAACACACAGAAAACTTGCAGAAATCCCCGGCGCGCTCTTTGTTCCCTCAGTCCCCCCGACAGGCCCCCTCTTAACCAACACTCCATGGCCCAATGACAGCCAAAGCAACAGCAACAAAAGCAATAACTTTGTTAGATACAACAACAACAAAAACAACAATAGAGACACACACACACAGACATACAAACATTGGCAATCGCATACTCGGCGAACAATATGGAATATAGAATTTTTTTTTTTTTCTTTTCTTGTGATTTGTGTTGTTGTTGTTGTTTTCTGGTTATCGAAGAATTATAAACTATAGGGTTTTTGGAGAGCGCCTCCTCCCCCCTCAACTATTTACCTTACTATCCTTTGGTTGGGACTTTTCGAAAACTCCTTCCTTCCAAAAAAAAAGAGATTTCAAAACAAGGTGGCACACAGGGAAAAAACGGCGCCAAAAAATATTATGTTGCAGCAACAGCAACAACTCGACCGACCGACTGACGTAACGTACAAAAAAATGTTGAATTTGAAATTTCGTGGTTTGGCGGGCGGGCGAGCAGTGCGCGGCGAGCGGTGCTAGACGGTCGGATACTGGCGGCGGACTGTTGGACTGTCCCACTGTGTGTTGTGGCGATGTGGATGGATGTCGTATGTTTCGAGTTGTTCCAAGCGACGGAGGCGACTAAACACACACGGATACCATATACCGAGGCTCGAAAACGAACAGCCGATACGAGATACGAGAGCGACGAGCGGCGGTCGTGGTAGCAAGTATCTATCAGCTACGTAGCTACGTAGAACACTGAAGCAACAACAACACCACAACAACCGAGCAAACAGAGAACACAACGCACAACGAAAACCCTGCTCTCCCTCACACAGATACTCACACACACACACACACATGCAGACGATAACTGAACACTGGAACATAGAGACCATGCCATGCCATGCCATGCCGTACAGCTGGCAGGCAACTTTTTATTGTTGTTGCGAATGAAACAACAAATAATACAAACAATGCACACACACACACACACACCTATACTACCTATATTCGTTTCTGGCCAGAGAAACAGCAACTGCGCGCTACAACGGTACGAATTGCAAAGATACAGATACATGTGGCCGAAGGGTGGCAGGGGGTTGGAACGGTACAGACAAACAAAACATGTTGCACTGTGATGCGAGTGCTAGAGGGCTTTATAGGAATTTTATGTCATAGGATCTTAAGAATAATCTTACAAAGTCTTAAACATACATATATCCACACTTGCCTAATAATTTCCCTGTGTATTTTCCAGTCTAAACAAGTAGTCACCTTGTTATTATATTTCAATCTTCCTCATTTCCTTTTTTTTCCAGTAAAAATAAACAAAAACACTGCCCGCTCGTCTTACCTGCCGCGGCGCTTCAGTTTTTCGCTTACCTTTGTACCAGTGTGCGGCTGCTTCCTCTTCCCCTCGTCGGCTCTAACTCTCAGCGAACATTGAAACAGCGACAGTTGCTTACTCAGCTCACACTCACACACACACACTCATTCGGCAGCTGCTGGCCGCCTCTCAGAATCAACAATAAGGCAAGCAAACAAAAACCATTTGTTGTTGCACGAAAAGCTTCTTTGTTTGTGGGGTTAATTCCGTTTCTGTTGCTCAGTAGCTTTTCAAAAAACATTTGTTTACGTTTTCTCTCATCGGCGATGGCCTCCATTCCCGAAGCTTTGCCAACACGCCAACTTCCTCTCGGGTGCGAAAGATGGCGCCACTGGTTTCCGGTCGGTTTTTCGAAAATGGCTTTCAGATCACGGACACGCAGAGAACATTGAGGCGACGCCATTAAACAAGTTGGTTTCTTTTGTTTGTTTTGAAAAAATTGTCAAAAATTGTAAATACATTTATTAAAATATGGCTTTTTTTTAGAATATTAATTGATGTACATTTCAATGAAAGTTTATGCAGAAAAACTTAATAAAGTTATCCATTTCTTGTTTAATTTTGGAATAAAAGATGGCGTCATCCGCTTACGGGTTTAAGATTGGTCTGAAGATCGAAAGGATCAAGTAGATATTATGATGTTAAATAATTTAAAACCATAATATTTCAATTTATAAATGTATAAAATTGAAAACCTCATTCCCTAAATTCTACCAAGATTTCCAAATTTCCTTTATTTTCAAGAAAAGCTCTTGAAAAGCTCCCAGCCTGCCTCAAACATGCTCATACCCTCCTATATAGATCCTATGTCCTTTGGTGGCGAATCCAAGTCGACTATGAAAACGTTCACGTCACCATCCCCAGCTATTTCCAAAACTTTTTTAATGATTTGTTTACAACTTTGTTGGCCTGCAATTTACCGCAAGCATACGGACAGGATTTGCATGCCAGGCCAGCTTTTCCCACTCCCCCTCACCCTCCCGCTGGTCCTTTCAGGACATCACCAGAGGAAAGCTCACTTCGTGCGTGTGCTCAAAAATTCAATAAAAAGGAGGCTCGTTTCTGTTGTGGCCTACATGTCATGGCTTTCGGTAGCCAGAGCCGAGCCGAGCCGAGGGAAACTTGGTCAACGATGGAAGAGAGACAGTAGGGAATGGGTTTCGGGTGGGTGGACCAGTGGCGCCTCCAGCGGAGTGGGTGGCAGGAGCAAGGAGAGAGCTTCCAAGTGCAGTCGAGCTCAGTTGCCGCAGGACAGTCGAGGCGAGTGCTCGTCCTTGGTCGCAACGCGTTCTGGGAAAAACCGATTCTACCGTTATACCACCAAAAAGGAAGAGTTTGGGGCTTGTTTTGGTTACGCGGTTGTCTCGCATTGGTGTTGGTGTTAGTGTCGGTGTCGGTGTTGGTCAACATCTGTGCCAGTGTGAGTGTGTGAGTGCGTGTGCGCTTCAAAATATTCGCCATGAATTATTAAGAGCTGGAAAGTTTCGAACAGAGTGCGAAAAATGTAAAGCCAGGACTCGAGGAAGTCCAGGACTCCAGGAGCACTTTGACGTCCGATTGGCAATGGCATCAAGGATGCAGCCTCACTGGGATGTGGAATGCATTTTGGAAACGCAGTATGTGACTCTCTAGCTATCCCTCTCTGGTTTCAGCAAGGACCTCGGTCTATCCTACCTCCCCCTTTACCTCGCTCTTTCACTCTCTCGCGCTCTCATACTCTCTGAGCCTTTGGCAGCGTGTAGAGTTTCGATTTCGTTAGAAAATCGAAACAAAAGCGGGCAAAAGGGCTCGAGGATTGTGGGTGTCGTTGCTGCGGCTACCTGTAGATGCCACATACAGTGGCGCGTGTCCTTGGTCGGGGTTTACGGTCGTCGTCGTCGTGTCCATGGAGCTGCCTACACCGCAACCGCCTTCCTACTCTAATTAATTTCTAATTCAAGGTCCGATGCGTGGCCACTGAAGGTTAAATATGACGAACAGAGCTATCCTTTCGATAGTGTTACTTTTAAACTGAAGGATTTCCACGAAATCTCCTCCGAAGTTTGTCGAAGAATTTCCCAAAGTCAAATCTTGTAATCCAATAAAGTAGAAAGTTAAGTGGGGCTAGCACACGAGTCGTAATTTAATTCCCCGCCACCGATTCCCCGAAGACATGGCGGCAATTAAGGCTGGCTAAACAATAGGCCCCCTGGCCCCCCAAAAACACTTGAGGCTCGAGAGTGGAAAACCCGCATTACGCATACGCCCCGTTAGCGGTCTGGCAACGTTTAGGTGCGAAAAAACGGAAAGGATTGAGAGGGGGGCCATGGGGCCAGGGGCAAGAGCTTTTCACCGCTGACCACTGCTTGGGGCATCCCCACCTCCCCAACTCTCTGCCCAAATGCAGCAAAGAGCGGTGATGTCTTCTCAAACACTTTTGTTTCTCGCCTGAGCAGAATTTTCGAATGATTTTTCCCGTGCTCAGTTCAGTGTGAAACGAACCAACAACTCAAACGAAACGAACGCGAAACGGGCGCGGAAAAACAAACTAGAATAGAATACCACCCGTCTTCTATATATTTTATTATTATATTTGTTGTTTAGAAATCGTGGCGAGGTGCCCGTCCTAACCCATCCTAACTGTAAACAATAATCGAATCAACGAAATTTTCAATTAACATCGAATGAGTAACGTCTGAGCGATTTATTAATTGGCCTATACCCGAACGAATCATAAAAATAATACAAAAAAAAAATATATAATACAAGAAAGAAAATCCCAAAAGGCGAGTCTGAGAAACAAAAGAATCCACAAGTAGCTGACGGCGCGGCACACGGAAAGATAAATAACTGCACAGATAGATATTTAGATAGATAATTGCTAGTTGCTCGGTACTAGGCCTCTAAAAATAACCAGCAAAATATAGACGGATACGCGGCGACAATTGCAGGGCCACCGGGTGCATGTGGAATAGCGGCCCGGCATAGCCCCCCGAGGATTTTGTGAGTAGCCCGAAGAAAGAATGCCCCCTCGAAGAAAATTGTCTCTGGTCTCTGGGCCCCTTTCTCCTCCTCCTCTGGCTAAAATCGAACTAACAAACTTCACTCACCTCTCGTTCTGCGTCACACACACTCACACACACTCGAATATACTCAAATAAACACTCAAATGTCCGCGGAATGAGAATCGTGTGGCGTGTGCCCTTGCTTTCTCCCCTCCCCCCTACCGCCACACACACCTACAGTCATTATTCCTTAAGGCAAACAAAGAAACAGGGCTATACAAATAAAGCTTCATCTGAATTGTATGTACTATATATATACAAATTAATTTGTTATTCACTTTTGATTATATATATTGGCCCACCAAAATAAATAAAGAGGTATTTGAACAAAGATATAGATCGTTGAACTATATACTCGAGTTTCTTGTTTATATTCGAAACTTTATTTAAAGTTGGGAAAGGGAAGGCTAGATGAAAATGTTTGGAAATATTAAATAGAACATGGATTGAATTTAATTTCTTGAATGAATACATCTATAGGTACTTGTGATTCATTTATAATTAAAATGAATAATGACGAATATAAGAACATTCTTTTACAATTTGTAAACAATTTTTGGAAATATTATTCCCAGAAAGTGACTCAAAATCACAAGATTTAAGATCTTAATGTTAAAAGAATTGGGTTGAAAGGGTTAAAAGTAGAGACCATACTCCTCCCTTCAAAAAAAAATATTATCTTTTGGAAAATTCACTGTGCTTGTTATTTTCCTTGTTGTTACTGCGAGCGATGGTACCACACGGCGTATGGGTTACGTAGCGGATGTAGGATGGCGAATAGCGACCATTGGATGGTTGGATGAGTGGCGTACACTTTTTATAGCCAGCAAGAGTCACACACAAGCCGCACAATCAAGAGCTCGTCGCAGTGTCTCGGTGCCCCCAGTGTTTATGTCAATTTGAATTTTGCATGTGGCTGCTAAACTTGACTATCTTGATGGGTCCTTTGTGTTACTGTTGTTGTTGTTGTTGTTGTGCTCCTTAGTGTCCTGAGTGGGTG